ACAACAGCAACAATTCCTGGTGTGACACAATCAGTATTTACAACAGAATCTGGAGAAACATCCACAACAAGAATCTCTGCAGAAACTTCAAAAGAGGTATTCACAACGGAAGTATCTAAGGTGACTGTAACCGTAACTCCTGAAACGACAACTATTAAAGAAACTACAGCCAACATTACCTCAGCAGTTACGGAGGCTACAGATACTCCAAAAGAAAAGGTTGAAGAATTTACCACAAGTACCTTAAGAGCCATTGTGGAGGGTGAAACAACAATAGCTGGAGAGACAACGGAAGGAACAACATTCGAATCTTCAGAAACTCCTACAGCATTTAGAACAACATCTGAAGTTAGCGATACAACCCAGTCTACGATGATAATTGGAGAAATTACGAAGGAATCAATGATCCCCAAATCAACGCCAAGTTCCACCGAAGAAACTCCCGCCGAAACTCCCAAAACTGCTACGGAAATAACTGGAATTCCCACTACATTTGAAACAACAACGAAGATTGGGGAAGTAACAACCTTCGGAAGTAGCACATCTATTCCAATTGTAGATACAACACTAAGCTCTTCTGAAGAATCAACAATACCAGAAACAGCCACAACTTCGTCAGAAATCTTTACTCCATCTGATAAAGAAATTACAGTGATTCCAACAGAACAAATTCTGACGACATCTGAAAGCGAAATGACCACAACTCCTACCGAAACTTCAACGCCCTCAGTGGGAGAGTCGACCTCAACAACGGTTACCGGTAAAATGACTGATACAGCAACAACCATATCTCCTGTAAGAGAAATTACAACAGCTGCGCCAGAGTCTTCCACAACTCCTGAAAGGATTGTAACCACAACTCCATCAGAGATTTCCACTTCAGCCGAAATAGAAATTACAACTTCGGAGATTCCAACATCTCCAGAAAGTAAAACGACTAGACCGCCGATCGTAGAGGTATCGACGGAAGCATCAACAGAACTATCCACGGCCTCGGAAAGGGAAATTGAAACTTCCAAGCCTTTTGAAACAGAAATGACCACGACAACTACATCATCCAAAAAAGAAATGGCCCCAGCAACTTCAGAGATTCCGTCTTCTTTAGAAGTGGAGACAACCTCGACACCAGGCGCTGTGCCTACATTGCCAGAAAAGGAAAGCACCTCAATTCCATTAGAAACTTTCACTCCGGATGAAAAAGAATCTACCACAGTTTCGACAAAAATTCCCACTTCTTTGGAAGGCGAACCCGCAACAGTTTCAACGGAGCCTTCCACGGAAAGAGTTGACACAACTTCTACTGAAATTCCAGCTTCCATTGAAAGTGAAGTGACCAAGGTTCCTTACGATGTTACCACATCCGTGTCTTTGGAAAGGGAAACAGCAGCCCCGACAATTCCACCTACTGTAACTCCCACCACTGAAAAGGTTATGCCAACAGAAATACCCACATCAACCGCAATAGAAATGACCACAACTCAAAGTACCGATAAACCTTTACCAACTGAAATGGTAACGGAAATATCTGTAACGTCTGAAAAAGAAAAGCCCCTAGCCCCAACCGAGTTATCCACTACAGCTGGAGAGGAAGCAACGACCCCTCCCAGCATTGAAGGCATAACTATAGAAAACGTTGCAACAACACAAGGTGATATCCTCCCCAAGGTGGTCACGGTAACACCCGAGACCGTTACAACAATTGCTGCTATCCACAATGCCACTCAAACGACAATCTCAGGCGAATTTGTTACCTCAACTACAGAACAAACAACTAAAGTTTATACCGTAACTCCCATGACTATTACCACCAGTTCACATAAGATTTCAGATATTGATGCTACAACAGGTGTTCCAGCAATCACTACCAATACAACAGAATCCGCTACTGCCATGACCACTGAGACGAGATTCGATTTGACTACTCTCACTGCCACAGTTGCTAAAGATCTCACTGCCACTACTTTAGAACCATCGTATATAAGTACCAAGACCACGACCATGTTTGATTTAGCCACTACTCGCACAACAGCCATGCCATCGCAAAAGACCTCGACAATTTTACCTTTTCTAACAACGACAAATCGTACCGACATATGCTGTATTACGGACTATGACTGTGCCGACGATGAGACTTGCATTGGACGTAACTGTGCTAAACCCTGTAACTTTTATCCGAACATATGCCAGAAATATCGACCCATATATACAAAATGTCATACCCTCAAACATACGCCAATGTGTTTCTGCGCCCACGTACCCACCGATCCGACAGCAAGTGATTGCCACATCATAGCAGGTAACTGAACCAAAAAGAAAACGGTCAAATGTGTGTGTTTTGTTTAATGTCTCTACTTCTACCTCCTACTCCTCCTATTCTCTGGAATGCAAACAACTTGAAATCCATAAACTGGGGAAAACAAAAAGCGTTGGGTTTATGGTCCATATATTCTACAAAAAAAAACATACATACATACATGGGAATGAATGAAGTAATGAATGGATGGAGCAAGGTCAATGATGTGTTATGTTTCTTTGATCTCAGGCGAACAAACACACCGTATGACTTGGTGGAATGAGATCGTCGTCATCATCTGTTGTGTCTCAGCATATTTCGGAATTATATTACAAGAACACACACACTCACTATTCATCTGCCCACCCACCTCTACCCAAGAAACACTTGCAAACACACACAACCAACCAACCACTCACAGTCACAGCATCTCTCAAAACAAAACGGACGTCTTGTGTTTTTCCTGCATCCCAAATAAATGTCTCTCTCTCTCTTTGTTTGTCTTTAGCTCTCCCTTTTTTCTGCATACCTCCATTTTAAACACGTACAATTACTCTCTGTTTGCTAGTGTTGTAAAACGATGTTACTTGTGAATACTTGTTGTTAGGTATGGTTTACAAAGGAGTACCTGATACTTGTTCTCTTTTTATAACACACTAATTTCCTCTACGAACAATTAACTGGAAGGAGCAACTAGTTCAATCAAAGTTCATTCTCTCAGTTCTGTAATAGGAGAAGCCACTGAGAAAAATAGGAGAAGCCACTGAGAAAAATAACAATGACCGACAAAGCTTTACGGAAGGGGACTAGAACTGGCTATCGAAAAACACTAAACATTTAATAGAATCGATTTTCCAAATGATTGCTTCTTGAACATGTTCATTACGACAACAAACAACCGAACTAAAGGACTAGTTCAATAAAGAGCTTATCATAGCGGATCGCGTATCTAAATGAACTCAACCTTTAAATGAAAGATGACGACGCTTATTTAAAGTAACCGAAGATCAATTGAACTTTATCGCTACAATATAGAGTTGAACATTCAAATTCACTGAACGGATCAATCTTTTTAGTTCCTCTCCATAGGAGAAAGTATACCGTTCAACTTGTTCCTGATTCGATGTTCTATAATATAGAGTTTTTCACTGAAAGAAGCATTCTTTTTAGTTCCTCTTCTTTAGAGAATCGAGATTCTTTTACTGACTTAAAGGAACGATTTAGAAAAACGAAAATCAATTAAACTATACCACTCCAAACTAGAACGGATAATTTTTTTAGTTCCTCTTCTTCAGATAAACTAGATCCCTCGTTCCATGATTCAATTTAGTTAAATCAAACATTGCCTACAAAATAAATGAACTAAGGGAACTAGTTCCGATCGTTTCTATTAAGGAATAATTTATGTGCACCTCTAATTTGCCGAAAACGCCAGAACTAGTTCCTAGTACACTAAAATAATCCATCAAGATTCGAGTCTCTTGAAATGCTCTCTTTTATTTTGAGGATTTTAGCAAATTAGACTTTACGTGAACTCCAAAAAAGGTATCGGAGAACAAATCGTAACATTCTAACTAATAACAAGTAACCACCAAGTAATCGACATTTATACAACACTAGATTTCTACAAGTGCCACAAAATCAAGGAATGAAATGTCTCCCTTTCTCTCTTTTCCCCTTTTTGTGCCCTTGAAACACTATTTCTTTCAGCAAAAACACGAAATCTCGCCAATCATTTTGGAAATCATCTCTTCCCCTTTTTTTGGTAAATTTTTTCGATACTCTTGTCTTGACTATGCGAAAAATAGTTTAGGCAATTATAAGTCTGGATTTCCCCAATGCATGTTAGGGAAAGGAAATCTGTTCTCCCTCAGTCTCTCTCTCTCTCTACCCCATGTCTCTCAATGTTTTCCTCTTGTATTTTTCTCTCAAAGTAAATGGTATTATGTTCTCCCTGGAATGTTGTATTCGTATCAACGTCGTATGACCATGATGTATCATTTTTTCTCTAGCACGATATATCTCTCCCTTGTCTCTCTCTCTCCCTTATATGTTTACAATATATCTCTCTGTAGCACTTTTAGAATGAAATTTATGAAATATTAGCATGAGAATCTGTAGAAATGCAGTAGAAGCGATAAAAGGATATCTAGCTTATCTTTATAGAAACCGAATGCTCATGAAAGAGCTATGGCATGTTATTGTCTTTTTTAGTTTATAGAAAGAAAATCATATTTGTAAATATTTCCCTGTACATAATGTAAATAAATTTTGGTTATGGTTCTTTTACTAATCCTGGTTAATGGTAAATTGGTAGATGGTATAATCCTGTAAATATTTTGATTAATTTTTTGGCTTAGCATGTAAGCAGTAAGTAGCAGCATGTGTATATGTTGTGTATGCCATTTGAAATGATGTAACAACTAAATTTAACATTGAAAACAAAACTAACTCCTTAAATCTTAACGAAATATATCTCATTAAAAAAAATTAGTTGATTTCAAATTTTTAACCCAAGAAAAAAAAAAGAAAATTAGAAAAAAATTTCAATTGAAAACATATTTTTTCATTTTTTATAGAATGCTATGAATGTTTTTCTTTAGCATATTTTTGTTTTCATATTGCATTGATTTCGCCTTTGCTAACTCTTAAATTTTATTTTATTTTTATTTTCGTAATAAATCATCACCGTCGTTGCCATCTATAGAAATTGGATGTGCTTCAAATTCCGATTGCCCTGCCCAAAAGCTTGCATTAATTCAATATGCGTTGATCCCTGCTCGCTGGCCAACCACTGTGGACCCCAACAGGAGTGTAAGGTTATTGAACATCAACCGGTTTGCTCACGACTCTGTGAATGTCAACGCAAATCGGATTGTCCAGACAATTTCGAATGTGATGGTTGCCAATGTCGTCAAGGTAAGTAAAGAATTGGATTGTAGATGATACAAGACTGACGCAATCTTGTCATGTCCGTAAGCACTGGTTACAGTCTTCTTCTCATGCTCAAGTATGAAACTCTGACTTCCTATTTGGCTCTCAATTCCTACAGCATTACTTGGCTCTGATTCCAGTACTTCTTATACCAGGCCCTGTCAATTCCCTCTTTGCCAAACCTATTACAGATGTCTCTTTTGTGTTGTCCACTGATAGTTCCGTTCTGGCTAAATATTAGTCTTCTCATGCTCAAGTATGAAACTCCGGCTTCACATTTGGCTCTCAATTCCTACAGCATTACCTAGCTCTGATTCCAGTACTTTTGATACCAGGACTGTCAATTCCCTCTTCGCCAAGCCCATTACAGATGTCTCTTTTGAGATGTCGTCCGATAGTCCGATAGTTAGTCTTCTCGTGCTCAAATCTGAAACTCTAAATTCCCATTTGACTCTGAATCCCTAGATTATTACTTGGCTCTGATTCCAGTACTTCTGATACCAAGGCTCTGTCAATTCCCTTTTAGCCTAGCCTAGCCCATTACAAATGTCTATTTTGAATTGTGATCTGATAGTTCCGTTCTGGCTAAATATTAGTCTTCTCATGCTCAAATATGAAACTCTCCCATTTGTTTTTTTTATTTCAAGTCCTGCGGCCCTTTCGACTTTGCCAAAAATATAAGTCTATCCTCTCCAAAGTCGGATTGCATGATATTACCGTTCTTTATGGAGTTGAATAATGGGATTAATTACAGTCAGCTTCTTGCTAACGAACTCCAACTATTTGTATGTGCGATCCCAGTTTATGTGACAGCGGAAAAGGACAGACATTTTCGCTTAGCATAGATTTTTCGGAGAAACAAGCCAAAAGAGACTGATCGATCAACTGAGCTACGGAAGGATTTATATTCCCCAAAATAGGATTTTTGACGTTTTCCATAGAAATGCTAGTGTTTTGACCCTTCAGATTTTTAAAAGTAATTCTGAAAGCTCCAAACTATTTTTAAACAGATAGCACTATATGACAGTAGCATTTCGACGCGAACTAACAAGTCCAAGAGTTTATGTGACAGTGGAAAACGACATATGTCTACTCTCTTACTGGGCGCCATCAAAGATTGCTTACAGAAACGGACCAAGAGATTCTGAACGATTAACTGAGCTACGGAAGGAATTAAATTCACCAAAGAAAGGTTTATATTAGCGCTCCATAGAAAGGTTTATATAAGCGCTCCAGAAAAGGACAGACGTCTACGCTTTAATTGGGCGCCATCATAGATTGTTCACAGAAACTGACCTTCTGATCGATTAACTGAGCTACGGAAGGAATTCATTTCCCCAAAATAAACATTTTTTTACATTTACACAGACAAGTTCATATTTTGACTCTCCAAATTTTTGATAACCATTTTTGAAGTTCCAACTGTGTTTTTAAAACAAATTTAGAACAATATATAATTTACCAATATTTTTTCTTCCAGTAATTCAACGCACACCTGGCTGTGAACACTGTGCCCAAGGATATCATTGTGATGCTAGTACTGGAGCCTGTATAAAGGGTAAGTCTTGGCACATTAAAAACCCACTAGTCAAAACTAACAAAAAAATATTAAAATTTTGGTTCAAAACAAAAAATTTTAACAATACTCTAATTAGATCAAAACACTAAAAAATAATAGAAATTAAAAAAAAAAACTAAATTCATTCTAAAAAACACATCATAATCCTAATAAAATATTTAATTTTTGTAAATATTTTACATATTAAAACTTTGTATATATGTTTTCTCCCCAAAAATCACCTATAATATAATTCAACCCTGACCCCCTGAACAAACAAAAACCTTCAAACTCCTTGTGTACATATTAAAAAAACAAAAAATAACCACCCACTAAAGATAAGCAAATCATAACTGGCAACACTACCACATTAACCACTGCCACCTCCACCACCACCACAACAACTACACCATCAATAACCAAAGCCATCGAAACAAGCACCCAATCGTCGATGGGCACCACTACATCTACGACACAAAAATCTAAAACCACTAAAAAAGAAGATGAAGGTGTGGAAGACTTTACAACAACAAGCACAACCGAGGAACCAGAGGTGAAGACCACATCTACCACAACAGCAGCAACAACAACAACAGTAAGTTCAACATCCTCCTCCAAGGATGTAGAAAGTACAACGGTAATGAAAACTGGACCACCGAAAACATATCGGGATGGTGAGAATAATATTACCGATACAACGGCGGGAGAAATTCCCACCAGTACCACCCCAGGTCCGGTTGTTACCACCACCACTCCGCCGCAAAGAGGTGAAGATGTCAAGGGTCCATTTGATTATCCCACAACGCCCAAGATGAAAACCACGCGTATAGACACCTCACAAGAGGAAGAGTTCTATAATGCCACCACTACAACGGGAACCTCTACGACGACACCCAAATATGAAAGTTCCACATTCCCGGTAATTATGGTAACCGATAAACCTCAAATCCCTGAGGAAATACCAAGTACCGAGAAGCCTTTGGTGGCAATGGATAAGACAACCATGTTTCCGGTCATAACACCAGAATCGACACAGGCCACCCGGGAACCACCCACCGTGGCAGCCACAACCATGCAAAGTCCTCCCGATGTAATGGAACCCATAACTACGACAACAACCGAAAAGATTGGCATGACAAGTCCAAAACATGTAACCATGTTGGATGAGTCAATGCCCACAACAATGAAACCCAAAATTTTAGAAGAAATGACCACCACCATGTTCCCGGTAATTACGGAAAAGGTTACCACAAGCATGACGGAGGTACCCGGCACCACAACAATGCTGATGCCAGAAACTGGTGTGTCGACCACGGAAATGCCAGCTACTGGCAAAAATCAAACCTCCTCTGAACCACCACCAGATTTCATGTCAACTATGATCCCTAGCACAACTACGATCCCCACAACATCAACCGAAAATACCACTACAGTAACAAGCATTACCACTACCAGCACCATAATCACAATTATTAACACTACTTGTACAGTTCATACTAATTGCGCCCCTAATCAATTGTGTATTATGGGACAATGTCGTAATAAGTGTCGTGGTGATGGAATCACTGAAACGAATTGTGTAAAAGGTATACTTCCCCTATTATATATTAAAAACCATTAAACTTTACATTATTATTCCTTTTTTCTTCTCTAAAGATATATTTGTATATATGCAATTTACTTTGTTTGTATTTAAAATTTAAAAGTAGTTGATAAATTGTCAAGGATATCTGGATTTTAGGTTAGCCCCAAAACAAAAAAATTCCGCTCGGTATATCTTGAGCTAGTTAGAAGACTGGACCAACAGGAACTAGATGAACGAACTAGTTCCTTTTCAGAAACGGAACTAGTTTCTATTCAGAAAATGAACTAGTTCCTCTTCAGAAAAGGAACTAGTTCCTATTCAGAAAATTAACTAGTTCCTCTTCAGATAAGGAATTAGTTCCTTTTCCTTGTTGGCTACAACTACTCTTCTCTCCGTTGTAATAATATTCTGATTTGGCTTTACTTCGGGGCTCTCCAAAAAGGAGAACTTGAACGCTTGGTTAGAGTACCCACGCAATCACAGTTTTGTGTGTAAAACAGTATCTGGCAATGAAGGCCCTCGTGCTCTCATTAAGCAACATTTTCTCCACACCCAAAGAAATCAATTACAAAACTATCTGCTCATGGAGTAACAAAGTTGGAAGAATATAAAAGTGGAACTCCTCTTCAGATTCTTTCAGAGAGCGAAATCTTTTAGTTCTCACGCTTTTAATATTGTATGAGACAAGAGTAGATTAAATAATTCAATGTTTGCGCGGAGTGAATTGCAATTACTGCAGCCTGCGACAGAATCACACTTTTATTTCTCTTTGTGTTTTTATGTGTGAGTCAATTGTTTATATATGTCTTCATATATCTATAACAGAAAGTATTGTATTCACTAAGAGTACACGTGTGAGCCTTTACTTCAGCGGTGCTCAAAACCGTGTTCTAGAACATAAAGAGAAAAAAGAGATAATTTAAGAGAAAATTAAAATTCTGTTTTTCTTTATATTTTACGGTTCTATTTAATTGTTTTTAAACATGAATGTTTGCAAAATAATTTATAAAGCAAATGGATAAAAAATATTTGTATAAATAATGACTTAACACTGTTTTGTTCTTGATTTAAATAAGCAAAGAGAAATTTAACTGAAAAGAGATATTTCTTCTTGAGCACCCCTGCTTTACTTCAACATGGATTACTGCGACTTTTCTCTATTTTGTTCTACTCTAGATTCATTCAAAGAGCGAAACTTGTTAGTTCCCGCACATTTACTATTGTGTATGAAACAACTGTTGAGAGACTTGCGATTACTGCAGCGTTAGACAGAGATGCACTTTTACTTCTCTTTTTTTATTAATGTGTGAGTCAATAGTTTATCTATGACTTCATATGTATCAGGGAGAGGATTTTATTCACTGAGAGCACGAATGCGGGCACTTACTTCAACCTGGGTTACTGATATTTTATGAAATACCGGGATTTCTAATACTTGCATAACATGAGAATGTTACTCTCAAAAGAGAAGGAACTTTGAGTGGTCACCTCAGTAATACAGGATAATCCCAGAAACATCGAAGTGGTGTGAATTCGTTATAACTTTTTATTTAAGACAAATTTTTGTAACTTTTTTGGTTTTTAAATACAATAAATTTATATGGAATATTTGTAGATTAGTAATTAAAAATGATATCCCGCACATTTTCCATGACCTTTCGCAAAACTTCCGATTTTATGTTGTCAATTTCGTCTCGAATATTGATTTTTAATTCCTCAATAGTCCTAGGCTTATTAGCATAAACTTCCCCTTTTAAATAACTCCAAAGGAAACAGTCTGGAGCGGTTAATTCCGGGCAACGCGGAGGCCAATTAAAATTGTTGCTATGCAAAATTATTGTTTCACCAAAGATGTCGCGTAAAAGAGCCTTCGCAATGTGAGCTGTGGCTCCATTCTTTTGGAACCATATTTGCGCAAGGTTTTCCATGGCCCGATATCGATCACAAGTGACGGAAATGGTGACACCTCATTCATTTTCAAAAAAAAAATATGGGCAAATGATTCTTTCACGGCTGGCCTTACAAAAATTTCCAACATGGCTCGATATGGTGATCTCAGCTGTGATGGAAATGTCGACACCTCAAAAAATATGGGCCCATAATCCCTTCTAAAGAAATACCGCAGCAATCTGTACACTTAACTAGTTGTAATTGTCGTTGATGAAGTACTCTTGGGCATTCCGTAGCCCATATCCTACAGTTTTTAATTGGAATTGGGCTTCGTCATTCATAACCAAGTTATGAATAAAATTTCATAAAAAAAAATTTCTTTTGCGATTTTTGCAGGAAATTAATTGCATAGTCAAGTCATTGCTGGGAATCTGTCGTTTTTAATTCTTGAACAAATTGAATTTTGTATGGAAACATTCTTCTGGTAATCACCGACCCTCTTGAGAGGCCAAGTTGTGTCAAAGATCTCCTGGTTGATGTTTCTAGAATCCTGCACCACTTGAATATTGTCAAACATGTTGATAGTTCGTAGTAGTTCGTAGAAACCAGGAAGGTTTCTCAGACTCCTTGTTGTCGAAAATTTGAAACGGTTCATTGTTGATTGAGAGGTTGCAACCCGCACATTAAATTGATGACGGTATGCAAACTGAGCCAACACAATGGACCGTTGCTTTGAAAAGATTTTGACACGTTCTTTACTTGTGTATTGCTCCATTATTAATTGTCCAATTCTTCTATACAATATAATTCTATTTTGAAACCCTTACATTTTTAATTCTAAACTGCCAAAAGATATTGAGTTCCAATTTCGATTAAGACTTCAGTTTGATATCTACGGATACAATTTAAAAATTACAAATTCCTCTCTGTTTTTTTTTTTAAGGGCCACTCATGTAGTTTCTTTGCGGACAGAAACAGGTCATTAGTCCAGAATGGTCTCAGACATATAGGTCCCGATAGATCGCTGATGTATGTAGAATTTCTAAGGTTCCTTTCTCTTAATTTCGACCCGAGCACTGTAAATATTTGTGTCCTTGTACAGCAAATATACTGAATTCTTCTCCCACTCTTGTTGTACATTTCCCCGACATTATGTGTACATAGAACAAACACCCCAAGTAGTGTCATATTATTTTAATAGCAAATCAAATAAAATCTCACATAACCTAACATTTGTTTATTTTCAATATATCAATGCAAACAACAGCAATAACAATAATAACATGTTTTTTTTTAACTTATCTCTCTTAACCCTCTCATCAAAACCAAATCAACTACTTACCTTAACAATCGTACAGAATCCCCTGGTAGACCCAAGAATCCGGAACCTTGTCAATCGAATAATGATTGTATTGAAAGTGAAGCCTGTTACATGGGTCTGTGTCAAGATCCCTGTGAGTTTGCCAATGTTTGTGCGGCCACTGCTAAGTGTGTTGCCAAAATGCACAGGCCAATATGTTCATGTCCACCCGGACATGAAGGTAATCCAACGGTGAAATGTGTAACGGCCGACAAATCAAGTAAGCTACTAAAACAAAATCTAACCTTAGCTAATCAACAATTTTCATTCCATGCTAAAGAGAGAAAAAAACAAAAACAAATATTAATCAACAATAAGAGTTAAATTGAAAAATTTTCGAATTTACCTAACCAAAAATGTTGGCCTATACTAATTTCGAAAATTTCTTCTCTTCCTCTTTCTACATCAGTGGAATGCACTCATGATTCTGATTGCTCCATTACCGAGGCCTGTATCAATCAACGTTGTCTCCACCCTTGTGATGCCCACAATCCGTGTGCCCAAAATGCTGTCTGTGTTAACACCAATCACGCCGCCGAATGCAGCTGTACCGATGGCTATGAGGGTAATGGTTATGTTGGCTGTCAACCAGGTAAGTTTGGAAGCTCTAACCAAAGCAAATACTTTATATCTCAAGCACCCCTAAAACCTATTTTCTAATCTTATCAAAACTTTTTAATCTTTCTTATCATTCACATTGAAAATAAAAATAATAAATAAAAAACAATCAAACAACAACACTGTAAAATAAACAAACAAAAAATACAACCCTGCAATCTGTATGCACTGGTGTACAAAATACAACAATAATACACTGCGCAAAATTGCTATCAACAACAAAACTTGTATAAATACACCGACAATATACCATACGAACAAACAAATCCGAACCACTTTCACCCCTTAACCACAAACAAACAAAAACACCCATAATTCCTATCGAAAACAAAACGAAACAAAAACATCCAATAGCCTACAAATCACCTCCGGTTTGTCAATACAACGAGGATTGTCCTCCGAACAAGTTGTGCGATCGCCTGAACAGACGTTGCATTAATCCATGCCAAGAGGATTCGTGTGGTGAAAATGCCGAATGCTTCGCCGTCAATCATGGCATTGAATGCCGCTGCTTGGCCGGCTATGTGGGTAATGCCTATGTTGAGTGCAGCGTGCTGCAAGGTTGCCGTTCCGATGGGGAGTGTGATGCCAGTGAGGCGTGTATCAATGGCAAATGTTCCTCGCCCTGCAGCTGTGGTGCCTATGCCCTGTGTGATGTTGTCAATCATCGTGGTATCTGTAAATGTCCTCCTGGCTATACAGGAAATCCAGCAATTGCTTGCAGTCCTCCCAGCAATCCCTGCGATCCCAATCCATGTGGCACGAATGCCTTGTGTGAATTGGATAACGGCAATCCCATTTGTTATTGTCCCAAGGGTCTTACCGGAAATCCCTTCAAGAATTGCAGTGAGTATCCATCTCCCAACCCCCTCTCCCATTCTCAATTCCATTCTAATAACATTTTCTTTCTTTCTCTCCCCAGTTCCTGAGGGTGATGAGTGTACACCAAATCCCTGTGGACCCAACTCTGGCTGCCGCATGGTCTCCAACTCACCAATTTGTTTCTGCCTACCCGAATATGAAGGTCAACCACCTAACGTACCCTGTCAACTGCCATCGAATCCCTGTGACCCCTCACCATGTGGACCCAACACCCAGTGTACCACATTGTCGAATGGTTTCTCGAAATGTACCTGCCTGCCAGGCTATGTGGAAAGTCCCAACACCATACGCGGCTGCATTGAACCCATCAATCCTTGTGACCCGAATCCTTGTGGCGTTGGCGCCATTTGTGACTCTACCCGCAACCCAGTGTGCTTCTGTCCCGACAATAAGATTGGAAATCCATTCCGTTTGTGTGAGAAGCCATCGGTTACCATTGAACTATGCAAGCCCGGTCCATGTGGCCAAAATGCCGACTGTTATGTTACCGATAATCGTGAGCAGTGCTATTGCCGTCCTGGTTACATTGGAGATCCATATCAAAACTGCCGTGAACCACCACGCTCGGTATGTGAACCAAATCCTTGCGGTCCTAATGCCGAATGTGTTATATCTCCCAATGGCCAAAGTTCCTGTGTTTGTCCCGAAGGCTTGGCTGGAGATCCAAACTCTGCGCTAGGCTGTCATGGTTACGAATGTCAAGTTGATGATGACTGTCCCTTCGACAGGGCTTGTATGGGCTTCAAATGCCACGATCCATGCCCTGGAGCCTGTGGCCATGGTGCCAACTGCCGTGTTGAGCAACATCATCCAGTGTGCTCATGTAATCCCGGCCTAACTGGTAATCCCGGTGTCTTCTGCTATGCCTTGGATGTGCCCAAGAAACACAAGAACCCCTGCGTGCCTAGTCCATGTGGTTTGAACAGTGAATGTAAGGTAATGAATAACCGCGCCGTTTGCTCATGTCTGCCCAGCTATTTGGGTGATCCCAAGACTGGCTGCCGCCCCGAGTGTGACATCAACTCGGACTGTGGTTCCAATCAAGCCTGTATCAACCACAAATGTATCGATCCTTGTGCTGGCACTATTTGTGGAATCAATGCGTTGTGTTCGGTACAACAACATACCCCGGTTTGCCGCTGTCTGGATGGTTTCACTGGAGATGCCTTCCGTCAATGTATTGCCATAGGTGTGCTACACAATGTATCACGTGATCCTTGTGTACCCTCGCCGTGCGGCCCCTCAGATGTTTGTTCCGTTTACACAGATGGTGTGGCTCTTTGCGATCCCTGTTTCGGACCTGATGCCCAATATAATCCACGCTGTCGTCCTGAATGTATTTCGAATTCTGATTGTCCCTTCGACAAGGCATGTTTAGGTTCTAGATGTTTGGATCCCTGCCCCGGCTCCTGCGGTCACAAGGCCGTTTGTCATGTCTATGAACACAATCCGATTTGTGCCTGTCCTCCAGGACTCTATGGTAATCCATATGATCACTGTGATGTTCCGATACGTGACAAGCCCACACCATCGCCCAGCTGTGCCAAATTGCAGTGTGGCGCCAATGCAGATTGTAAAAAACAAAGTGGTGTCCTCTCGTGTGTCTGCCGCAAGGGTTACTTCGGTAATCCCTTCGTGGGCTGCCGACCAGAATGTGTGCTCAATTCCGATTGTCCCGTGGACAGAGCTTGTGTCAATTCAAAATGTGTGGATGTTTGTGCGGGAGTTTGTGGCATCAATGCCCTGTGCCAGGTAGTTAACCACGGCCCGGTGTGTATTTGTCCCGAGGGTTATACCGGTGATGCATTCAAACAATGTTCCAGAACTCCACAAATCCCCAATACCTATCTACCGGTCGATACACCCAGAAATCCTTGTGAACCCTCACCATGTGGTCCAAATGCCAGATGTTTAATATCGCCCGAGGGATATGCTGCCTGTTCCTGTCTGCCAGATTTCAAGGGTTCACCGCCCGTCTGCCAGCCGGAATGTATTGTCAGCTCGGAGTGCCCCCTGCAGCAGGCATGTATAAATCAACGTTGTGCCGATCCCTGTCCTGGTACCTGTGGTGTTGCAGCCAAATGCAAGGTCCAAAATCATAACCCCATTTGCTCTTGTGAGTCGGGCTATGAAGGAGATCCATTCGTTTCATGTGTACCCGTACAAGAACAACCCAAGGAAGTAGATCACCCAAGACCTGAGAATCCATGCCTTCCCTCACCATGTGGACCAAACTCGATATGCCAAGTTAAGCAAGGGCGACCAGTGTGCTCTTGTGTGGCCAACTATGTGGGAAGTCCACCATATTGCCGACCCGAATGTACCCTGAACAGTGAGTGCCCGGCGGACAAGGCCTGTATCCAGGAGAAATGTGAAAACCCTTGCGTCAACACGTGTGGCCACAATGCCAAGTGTACGGTCATTGCCCATTCAGCCTACTGCAGTTGTGAGGAAGGTTACGAAGGTGATGCCTTTGTGGGTTGTTCCAAGGTCATCAAGCCACAAGATCATGTTGATCCATGTTATGCCAACCCATGTGCTGAAAATGCCGTTTGCACCGAACGTAATGGCATTGCCAGATGTTCGTGCATTGAACCCTACATTGGAGATCCCTATACAACCGGTTGTAGACCTGAGTGTGTCTACAATGCCGAATGCCCGGCCCAACAGGCTTGCATCAAGCAACATTGTCGCGACCCATGTGTTGGCACTTGTGGTGCGAATGCTGAATGTTCGGTGGCCAATCATGTGCCGGTTTGCAGCTGTGCTCGTGGTTATGTTGGTGATCCATTTACCGGCTGTAAGAAGGAAACGCGAACACCAGTTAGTCCTTGTGAACCGAATGTCTGTGGACCCTATAGCATTTGTCGTGCTGTGGATGGCCGTCCCACTTGCTCTTGCCAGGTGGGTTACTTTGGCTCACCGCCCAACTGCCGTCCTGAATGTGTTGTCAGTTCTGAGTGCAGTCAACATTTGGCCTGTATCAATCAGAAATGTGCCGATCCTTGTGTTGGAACTTGCGGATTCAATGCCAAATGTCAGGTGGTTAACCACAATCCCATTTGCTCTTGTCCCTCGGACATGACCGGTGATCCATTTGAACAATGTGTACCAAAACGTAAGTTAGACAATTGAGGTTGGCGTGAACACCTTGAACATGAAAATTCTCTTCTCTTACAGCCAAACAACCTAACCCTGAAATTAATGCCTGCCTACCCAGCCCATGTGGTCCCAATGCCCAGTGCCGTGACATGGACAATAGAGCTGTGTGCTCTTGTCTGCCCGGCATGTTCGGTGCCCCGCCCAACTGTCGCCCCGAATGTGTTATCCATCAAGACTGTCCATCGAATCGTGCCTGTATTGGCCAACGTTGTGAAGATCCTTGTGCAGGAGCATGCGGTTTCAATGCCGTTTGCACAGCTTTGAATCACAAACCCGTTTGCTCCTGTCTTGAGGGTCATGAAGGTGATCCCTATGCCGGCTGCAGTATGCGAGCAAGTAAGTGCAATTTCAATACTTTGCTATCGATTTTTCGTATTCAAATTTCCCCACATTTAAAGCTCACGAAATGTGGCGCCCAATTTTTAAATGTAATCTATCAAATGTACACTTTTTTCCAGTTTCCAAAGAAGGTGGTGGGATATATTTTTAAGAAAGAAATGCATGTTTTATATACCTATGTATTAGTTTTTAAGTATTTTATCTCCATAGCTTTTATTTATATCTCTATCTCTTTTTCCCTCGTCTATCACTCTATAAATACTCATTACCCTTATGTATATTTATTTTATTCGAACCACCTGTAGTTGTGGTCCCTGATACACCAAGTGATCCTTGCAATCCCTCACCCTGCGGTTCCAATGCCATATGCCGTGAACGTAATGGTGCAGGAGCTTGTAGCTGCTTGCCAAACTATTTCGGTGATCCATATATCAATTGTCGTCCAGAGTGTGTACAAAACTCGGATTGTCCGCGCACGAAAACTTGCCTGAACATGAAATGTGTTGATCCGTGTGAAAACTTGTGTGGCTATCGGGCTTTGTGTCGTGTGGCAAACCATCAGCCCATGTGCTCATGTGAACCCGGTTTTACGGGAAATCCCATGAGAATATGTGTTGAAAGGCCATCAAGTAGGTTTCTTCCACCTTCCCGAAGCCGTAACACTACAACGATTGTGGAATTGTTATTCAGATTTTCACAATTCCTAAATCGTTGAGCGTTTGCCGGCTGCGGTAGAGTTAATAGGTCCTTAGAAATTCTAGAAATTCATATCCGAAATTTTATCTTTCTGCCAGATGAATACTTACCACTGCCCGAAGATCCATGCCGACCTTCTCCATGCGGTCAGTTTAGTAGTTGTCGCGTACGTGGAAATCGTCCAATATGTTCTTGTTTGCCCAATTATATGGGCCAGCCACCGAATTGTAAGCCAGAATGTGTCATCAGTGCCGAATGTCCTTCGGATAAGGCATGTGTAAATCAACGTTGTGTAGATCCTTGTCCCGGTACATGTGGTCACAATGCTAGATGTCGCGTTACAAATCATTCGCCCATCTGCACTTGCATGCAGGGCTATACGGGTGATCCGTTCCATCAGTGTCAACCGGAAAGAAGTAGGTTTTTAAATGCCGCTAATTGCTTTCATCCTCCTAAAGGTTTTGTAAACAGTTTTTGAAGTTGCAGAGACACTAAAAATTAGGAATCGTGATTCCTTTATACTCCGTTTATGTTTTCGAAATCGGAATCAATTCCTGAACAGAAAAATGTCATTCACTTTGATTTTCCCCCGTGAGCAAGTTCTTCTTCCAACGATTTGGAACAATTCTTTTTCTGCACTGCCCTTTTAGTCACCAGAATCATTAAACATTGGATCAGATTACGCCAATCTCCACTGTATCATCGAGTTCGAAGTGAAATTATAAATCTGGTCGTATATACAAAATGAAGAAAAACGACAACTCAATAGAACTACATCTTCTTGAAGTTGGATTCCACTCAGCAGACCTTCACATACTCACCATTTGATATATCTGTTAGGATGTTTGAACTTGATCCTAATGAAACGTTCACACTGGACAATCCCATAGAAGTCTGTTTTGCCTACCTACTAAATTTTCGAACTTAAACTTGTGCAAAGTAGTCGGCAATATTCGAACTACAACTTTCGTGAAGTTGTATTCAATAGAAATGGTTCTGCATGATTCTTCATCCTTCTACTTGTTTGAACTACATCTTCTAAAAGTTGGATTCCACTCAGCAGATCTTCACATACTCACCATTGAAAATATTTTTTAGGATGTTCGAATTTGATCCTAATGAAACAGAGCAAACTCGACAACCCCATAGAAGTCTTTTTTTACATTACAAATGTTCGAACTTAAACTTCTGGAAGTTGTCGCAAATGTTCCAACTACAACTTCCTGAAGTTGGATTCAACAGAGATGGCTCATCATAATTCTTCTACATGTTCGATGTTATATTTCTACATGTTCGATGTTAGAACTACAGTTTCCTGAATATCGGTTCTACTTAGAAACTCTTTATATACTCGCTCGAAATCTGCTTTACCTACCTACCAAATGGAATCGTATTCAAAGGTGAAGATTCTGCGCTTGTTCGATCTTCGAAATACGTTTTCTTGATGTTGGATTCCATGCAACCAATGAACCTGATCTTCGCAAAGATGGACCAAACGAATGGAAAGACATCAATAGTGACTCGTAAAGGATTTCGTTGGTTCGCCAGCTCTCAAAAGAAACCCAATAGATTCTTGCAAAACCGTTCTGTAGAAAGAATTTTAGTGCTTCTACGAGTCCGATGTTTGAAAATAATCATTTTGGAGTCGAATGGCATCCAACGACCTTTTACAAACGTCAAACTTGTTGAACTTGAATGAAAAAAAAATAGCGAAGAGATTCTTCCGATTCCATATAATTCCTTGTGTAACGTATCGGAATCTATTTACAAGCGGTATTTTTTGGCACCAGCACTATATCACCTAGAATAGCTCTAGTTAAGTTCCGAAGGGGAAGTAGAACGTCAGTTGTTTCGAACAAAATGTGATTTTTAAAAATCGTATCAATTTTTTCATTGATGAAATCGATAAAGCAACGCTTGAATTCTATCAATTAGAACATTTTCAAAATTTGCAACCTTTGAAAGGGTTCCAAGTCTATTTCTTTTGGCTCCCAAATCGTCTCCGAATTCCAACTCACCTAAAACGCAAAAACCAAAAACTGTTTACAAAAAATCTAAGGAGCCAGGCATCGTCAAAGTGTTTGTTATACTAATTCCATTTTGTTTTTCGCACCGAAAGAACCCGAACCGCCAAGAGATCCCATTGTACCACAAAATCCATGCATACCATCACCGTGTGGTCCGAATTCGCAGTGTCGAGTCTCCAGCAATGGTGCCGTTTGTTCTTGCCTACGCGAGTACATTGGACGTCCGCCGAACTGTCGTCCCGAATGTTCCATCAATTCGGAGTGCCCCTCGCAAAGGGCATGTCTCAATAATCGTTGTGTTGATCCCTGTATCGGTTCGTGTGGCAACAATGCTCAATGTCATGTTAGCAATCATGTACCGGTGTGTATGTGTCAGGATGGCTTTACTGGAGATCCATTTTCGGGTTGTTATCTCTTAATAAAAAGTAGGTGGTTTTTAGAGATCGAAGAATTACGGGCAGAGAAATAATGCTTCATTTTTTGTTTGTTTGTTCTGTTGTTATCGTTGTTACCCCCAACATAGTTCCCGATGAACCCATACAACCCTGCAATCCCAGCCCCTGCGGTTTGAATGCTTTGTGCGAAGAACGTAATCGTGCGGCTGCATGTAAATGCATACCCGAATATTTCGGTGATCCATATGTTGAGTGTCGACCGGAATGTGTTCTGAACTCGGATTGTTCGAAATCACAGGCCTGTGTCAATAACAAATGTGTGGATCCCTGTCCGGGTGTGTGTGGTCATAATGCCGAATGTTATGCTTTGAATCATCAGGCAAATTGTGAATGTTTATTGGGCTTTACGGGAAATCCCAATGTGGGTTGCCATGCCATACCAGAAACACCTAAATGTAAGCAAAAGACAACAAAAACAAAACACCCACACACTAAGAAAACTTACCACAAATTACTAAATACTGTAGCACATGGAAGGAGTTTGAGCCTCACACAGTCCAAACAAAAAGCCAGGAATAAAATTCTAACACCTAACCAATTGATTTCCTCCAAACTAAAAATTAATCTCCCCCCACATCCCCCATAGCAAAAAAAAAGAAAAATTGGCTGTTAATATGCTCTAACAACTTGAACTCCTTCATTGGGTGGCTTTGCGATGCCCCCAAAATTTGGTATTAATACCCCCTAACCAAAACGTAACTCTTGGTTTTAAACCTCAATTTTGATGTGTATGTATCTCTGTTACCCTACTCCTTCACTTTCCGTTTAGATGACATTACCGTACCCAGCAATCCCTGTGTACCCTCACCATGTGGTCCCTATAGCAATTGTCGGGTACAAAATGGTCATGCCGTTTGCTCGTGTGTGGCCAATTATATTGGCGCCCCACCCAATTGTCGTCCCGAATGTATGACCAGCTCTGATTGTGCCCAGGACAAATCGTGTATAAATGAGAAATGCAAAGATCCTTGTCCGGGAACGTGTGGCATTAATGCCCAGTGTCGCGTGGTCAATCATAATCCCATATGTTCATGCATGTCTGGCTTCACCGGAGATCCATTCATACGCTGTATATACGAAGAAAGTAAGAACGGATTGCAAATGCAAAATGCTCTCTCACTCTCATCCAGAAAAATTCTCATAAATATCATTCATTCAACTCATCATCTCTCTCATACATATACAAATATACAACATTTTTCTCTTTCTCTCCTCTTTTTTTTCTATGTAAATTTTTATACGCTCTCCTGCATGCTTTTACTCTCATTTATTGTACCCACAAAAAATCAAAACAAAAATCACGCTCAAACAGAACGTCCAATCGTAAGAGATCCTGTGAATCCCTGTGTACCCTCGCCATGTGGTCCGAATTCACAGTGTCGCGTCTCGCCGAACAACGATCAGGCAGTTTGCTCTTGCCTGGCGAATTACATTGGTCGGGCGCCAAACTGCCGTCCCGAATGTACTTCGAACTCCGATTGCCGCGGCAATATGGCTTGCATCAATCAGCGTTGTCAAGATCCATGTCAGGGCTCATGCGGTTCATTTACCACATGTACTGTAAATAATCATAGACCAATATGTCGTTGCTTGCCAGGTTATACGGGTGATCCATTTTCAGAATGTAGTCCGCAAAGTAAGACATAGTTTTAGTTTAGTTTTTAAGATGTTATAGCTTTATATGATCGCCAACGAAACGACAGTTGCTTCGCTTTGCCTCTTAAATGCATTTTGCTAAAATGAACTTGATTTTTCGCGTCTAGTTATTGTACCACCGGAAAAGGCGGAGCCGTGCAACCCGAGCCCTTGTGGTGCCAATGCCGTTTGCAAGGAACGTAATGGTGTGGGATCCTGTACTTGCTTGCCGGAATATCATGGAGACCCATACACGGAATGCCGTCCGGAATGTGTGCTCAATACCGACTGTGCCAAGAATCGTGCCTGCATCAACAACAAATGTCGCGATCCATGTCCCGGCGTGTGTGGCGTTGATGCCCAGTGTCATGTCATCAATCATGCTCCAAGTTGCAGTTGTCCTTCCGGTTACACTGGCAATCCATCGGAATATTGTCGCAAAGAAATCAAACGTAATAGCTCGTTGAAATTCTCTAATCTAGCTGGCAGTATTATTAAAATTCCCCCCTTTCCTTTGCCCATAGAATTAGACACCGTGAAACCATGCCGTCCCTCACCCTGCGGCCCTTACAGCCAATGTCGTGAGGTAAATGGACATGCAGTCTGCTCTTGCTTAACCAATTATTTGGGTACCCCACCAGCCTGTCGTCCAGAGTGTTCCGTTAGCTCGGAATGTGCTCAAGATAGGGCTTGTTTGAATTTGCGTTGCGTAGATCCATGTCCAGGCACCTGCGGCAATGAAGCCGTCTGCAAGGTTACCAATCACAATCCAATTTGTTCTTGCCCATCGGGTTACACCGGTGATCCGTTTATACGTTGCATTAAAATCGAAGAACGTAAGGTGGAGGATGATAAACCGTCGAATCCTTGCATACCAAGTCCTTGTGGACCCAACTCTCAGTGTCGTGTGGTGGGTGAGACGCCTGTCTGCTCTTGTCTCCCAGATTTTGTGGGTCGTGCACCTAACTGTCGTCCCGAGTGTAGCATTAACTCAGAATGTCCTGCAAACTTGGCTTGTATCAATGAGAAATGTAAAGATCCTTGCCCGGGATCGTGTGGTTTCAATGCCTTCTGTAATGTGGTCAATCATTCGCCAGTTTGTAGCTGTGAGCAGGGTTATTCCGGAGATCCATTTGCCGGTTGCAATCCAACACGTAAGCGTTCGCTTGCTCAGTAGGAAACGATATGCTAAACTTAGATTTTTCTCTTCTTCTCTCAGCGGTACCCGAAGAACGTTTGACACCCTGTAATCCCTCACCTTGTGGCCCCAACGCTGAGTGCAAGGAACGCAATGGTGCCGGTTCTTGTACCTGTGTCGAGGGTTACTTTGGTGATCCTTACAGCGGCTGTAGGCCTGAATGTGTCGTCAATTCCGATTGTCCACGTGACAAGTCGTGTGTCAATCAAAAATGTTCCGATCCCTGCCCAGGAGTTTGTGGTATTAATGCCGAGTGCCGGGTGGGCAATCATGTGCCAACATGTCACTGCCTACCAGGTTTCACCGGCAATCCTCTCAGTTCTTGTCGTCTCATTCCCGAACCGGAACCAGAACCAAGTAGGTTTTGCCACTTTGCTTCTGGAAGATTATGCATCTAATTGTTCCACTCGTTTGTTTTTTCGCTATAGTTGCCCGCGATGAAAATCCCTGTCAACCTTCACCCTGTGGCCCGTATAGCCAGTGTCGTGAAGTAAATGGCCATGCCGTTTGCTCGTGTCAAACCAGCTATATCGGTTCGCCGCCCAATTGTCGCCCCGAATGTATTGTCAGTTCGGATTGTGCTCAGAATATGGCTTGTCAAAATCAAAAATGTATAGATCCTTGTCCTGGCACCTGTGGAGCCGAAGCACGTTGCCAAGTTGTAAATCACTATGCAGCATGTTCCTGTCCTCCTGGTTATACGGGAGATCCTTTCAATAGATGTACTAGAATTAAATGTAAGCATGTTACACTTTCTCTGGTGGAACTGTAAGAGAAGAAAGAGGGAGACATTGTTTTTCTTTCTCTTCATCTTTTACAGTTTCACACCTCTCTCTCTCTCACTTTCTATCCCTGCATGATGTATGTATATATTAATGTTTGTTTTATTTTCCTTTCTCTTTTTTTGTTATTATTGTAATACTGAATGTGTTCTATGTCGTGTTGTGAATGTTATATCCTATGGTCCTATTGAACTATCCAACTCTACTCTACACTACTACTACAACACTATCATCTCTGTAAAAACAAAAAACCTGTACTACTCTACAACACCTAACTACCTACCCACCTGTCAACCTGTACACCAACACCTCTCCAGTGGATGTTCGTCCAGTCGAAAAGACGGGCAATCCATGTGTACCCTCTCCATGTGGACCCAACTCGAAATGTATCGATGTTGGTGGTGGTTCGCCTGCATGCTCCTGTTTGCCCGACTATCTGGGACGGCCACCTAATTGTCGTCCCGAATGCATGAGTAGCTCGGACTGTCCAGCCAATATGGCCTGCATGAATCAGAAATGTTCGAATCCGTGTGCCGGTGCTTGTGGCATACATACACAGTGTACAGTTATAAAACACAGTCCTGCATGTCAATGTGAACCTGGCTACACCGGAGATCCGTTCTCTGGCTGTAGTGCTGTACAAATAAGTATATATCTTTTCTTGCTATCACTCTACAGTTTGCAAAAGAAAATCGAAGGGGGAAGAAAGAATATAGAACCAACAATTTGCCCTCCAATACCTCAAACAAATATTCTTCCTTTCCCTTTTTGAGACCCCTATCAGCCATTCCATATCAAAGTGAGCTTTACTCATAAAGGCTTCCCAAATCTATTTCCAGCTGATACCACTGAACGTCCTCGCGATCCATGCAATCCCTCACCTTGCGGTGCCAATGCCGTTTGCCGCGAACGTAATGGTGTCGGTTCCTGTGCCTGTCTTCCCGAGTACTTCGGCGATCCCTACACCGGCTGTAGACCTGAATGTGTACAAAATTCCGATTGTGATCGCTCAAAGGCTTGCTTCAACAACAAGTGCCAGGATCCTTGTCCTGGAGTATGTGGCATTAATGCCGAGTGCAGAGTCATCAATCATGCTCCCAACTGCCAATGCTTTGAAGGTTATACCGGAGATGCTCATCGCGCCTGTTCTGTTATTGAAGTCACAACTATGGCACCATTGAATCCATGCTATCCTTCACCATGCGGACCTTACAGTCAGTGTCGTGAATCGAATGGTCATGCCGTTTGCTCCTGCTTGGACAATTATATTGGCGCTCCTCCATCTTGTCGTCCCGAGTGCGTTGTCAGCTCTGAATGTCCTCAGAACAGGGCTTGTATACAACAGAAATGTGGTGATCCATGTGCTGGCGCATGTGGTTCTCAGGCCAGATGCCAAGTGGTGAATCACAATCCGATCTGTACTTGCCCGGCCAACATGACCGGTGATCCATTTGTGGAGTGTGTTGTGGATCAACAAACTCCTCGGGATCCCATGAATCCTTGTGTACCTTCACCATGTGGCCCCAACTCATTGTGCCGTGAAATCGGTGACCAGGCAGCCTGTTCTTGCCAGACTAACTACATTGGAAGACCACCCAACTGCCGACCGGAATGTACCAATCACGATGAGTGTCAAAGTAATTTGGCCTGTCAAAATGAACGTTGCATTGACCCTTGCCCAGGATCCTGTGGCTCCAATGCTCTCTGTAAGGTGGTTCAACACAACGCAATTTGTTCTTGTGCCGATGGCTACGAAGGAGATCCAATTTACGGTTGTCAACTCGTAGAACCCGTATTGCCCAAACAGCCACCCACCTCACCTTGTGAACCCTCACCATGTGGACCTCATGCCGAGTGCCGTGAACGTAACGGAGCCGGTGCTTGCTACTGTCACGATGGCTACGAAGGTAATCCGTACGATGCTCAAGTGGGTTGTCGCCGTGAATGCGAATCCAATGATGAGTGCTCGCCAGCTCAAGCTTGTGTCCGTTTCAAATGTGTGGACCCTTGCATAAATATTTGCGGAGAATACGCCATCTGCTCGGTGGACAATCATGTACCAACCTGCACCTGTCCACAAGGTTATTCTGGAGATCCATTCTTCCAATGCAAACCAGTGCCTGTCACACCACGGCCCATTATTAATCCTTGTGTGCCATCTCCTTGTGGTCCCAACAGTATTTGCCGCAACATCAATGAACAGGCGGTTTGCTCATGTCAATCCGGGTTCGTCAATCAACCACCCAACTGTCGTCCGGAGTGTGTGGTCAGCTCTGAGTGTTCGGCCGATAGGGCTTGTGTCAACAACAAGTGCGTGGACCCATGTCAACATACTTGTGGTCACATGGCCATTTGTCAGGTCAAGAATCACAGTCCTATCTGCACCTGTCCCAGAGGCATGACGGGAGATCCATTTGTCAAGTGTTCGAAGATACGTAAGTATTCACAAGTATTGAAATATCCAATAAGGTACAAATTTCCCGATTTTCTCTTTCTTTATTCCTCTACAGCCATTGTAATTGAAGAAGATCCCACCGAGAAACCGCCATCATGTGTTCCTTCACCATGCGGACCCAATTCAAAATGTCAAATCATTGGTGGCAGTCCAGCATGCTCCTGCTTGCAAGACTTTATTGGCGCCCCACCAAATTGCCGACCAGAATGTGTTCTCAACTCTGAATGTGGTCCCAACGAGGCTTGTATCAATCAGAAATGCCGTGATCCTTGTCCTGGTTCTTGCGGTTTCGAAGCCAAATGCCATGTCCTAAATCATGTTCCTATTTGCAATTGCTTGGATGGCTACACCGGAGATCCATTTGTACGATGCAGTCCAGAACCGGTCACAGAATCGCCTAAGACACCAAATGATCCATGTGATCCTAATCCATGCGGTCCGAATGCTGATTGCTTTAATGGTGAATGTAGATGCCAAGACAATTACCAAGGTAATCCTTATGATGGTTGCCGTCCCGAATGTACTCTCTCGGCTGATTGTCCTCGCGATAAGGCATGCATGCGCAACAAGTGTGTTGATCCTTGTCCTGGAACTTGTGGCGTTAACGCTTTGTGTGAAGTCCTCAATCACATTCCAGTGTGCTCCTGCCAACGAGGCTATGAGGGTGATCCATTCACCAATTGCAGACTGAAGGTCGAGAAACCAGATGAACCCGTCGAACCTTGTTCGCCATCACCATGTGGACCCAACAGCCAGTGCCGCAACATCAACGACCATGCTGTGTGCTCGTGCATGGATGGTTTCATTGGTGCCCCACCACAGTGTCGACCAGAATGTGTGGTATCCAGTGAATGCTCAGCTGTACAGGCTTGCGTTAACAAGAAATGCGTTGATCCATGTGCCGGAGCTTGTGGTATTGATGCCCGTTGTGAGGTTATCAATCACAGTCCAATTTGTGGTTGTCCTCCGGGTAAGACAGGAGATCCATTCAAGAGGTGTTTAGATATTCCTCCACCACCACCAACTCCCAAAGATCCGATTGCCGAAAGAGATCCTTGCGATCCATCACCATGCGGTCCAAACTCAGTTTGCAGGTCTGGTCCCAATGGTCATACTTGTCAATGCCTGCCCGAATTCTTTGGCTCACCACCAAATTGCCGACCAGAATGTATTATCAATCCCGACTGTCCCTCAACGCAGGCTTGCATCAACAACAAGTGTCGCGATCCCTGCCCAGGCTCTTGCGGTACCAATGCTGAATGCCGTGTCATCAGCCATACTGTGTCATGCTCATGTCCGGCTGGATTTGCTGGCAATGCCTTTGTTCAATGCCTGCAACAAAGAGAGGAACCCATCAGGCCATGTGAGCCCTCGCCATGTGGACCAAACGCCGAATGTATCGAGCGCAACGGCGCCGCTTCATGTCGCTGTGTTGATGACTATCAAGGCAATCCCTACGAAGGATGCAGACCTGAGTGTGTGCTCAGTTCGGATTGTCCCACCGATATGGCTTGTATACGCAACAAATGTAAAGATCCATGTCCTGGAATTTGTGGTTCCAATGCCCAGTGTTATGCCGTTAATCATGTACCCAATTGTGTTTGCAATGAAGGCTATACTGGAGATCCATTCTCCAACTGCCGACCAGAACCTAAGTTACCACCACCAACCCCAGGCAATCCTTGCCAGCCATCGCCGTGTGGACCGAACAGCAAGTGCCGCGTGTCAAATGATCTGCCCGTATGCTCCTGCCTCGAAAACTTTGTGGGAGCACCACCCAACTGCAAACCAGAATGTACCGTCAATGCAGAATGTCCCCAGAACAAGGCTTGCCACAAGTTCAAATGTGCCAATCCTTGTGCTGGCACTTGTGGCATTGATGCCAAATGTGAAGTGATCAACCATAACCCGATTTGCAGTTGTGCCTTGGATATGACCGGTGATCCATTTACAAGATGTTATCCGGCTCCCGAAGAGCCCAAGGATGCTCCAAAACCATCCAAGAATCCATGCGTGCCTTCGCCCTGTGGACTCTATTCCGAATGTCGAGTGAGTGGAGATCAGCCGTCGTGCTCTTGCCTGCCCAACTATATTGGATCACCACCAAATTGCCGTCCAGAATGTGTTGTCAACACTGATTGTCCATCTGATCTGGCGTGTATTGCCGAGAAGTGTCGCAATCCTTGTGATGGCACCTGTGGCATTAATTCCGAGTGCCGCATACAAAATCATTTGGCAATCTGTACCTGTCGCACTGGCTTCACCGGAGATCCATTCTCTCAATGTATTGAAATTATTGAAGAAAAGACTCAAACTCCTGTGGAAAGTGATCCATGCAGTTTGCAGCCATGTGGAGCCAATGCTGAATGCCGTCCCGGTGGAGTGTGTGTCTGTTTGAGAGACTATCAAGGAGATCCCTATGTCGGATGCCGTCCTGAATGTACTCTGAGCACAGACTGTTCACCCAACAAGGCTTGCTTGAATAAGAAGTGTGTTGATCCCTGCCCCGGAACCTGTGGCCAAAATGCCCAATGTGATGTCAACAACCACATACCGGCTTGTACTTGCCCTAAGGGTTATACTGGAGATGCATTCGTCAATTGTCGTCAAGTGGTGCGTCAAGAGGAACCAATTGATTTCTGTCGCCCCAATCCATGCGGTCCCAACAGTGTGTGTCAAGTTACGCCCCAAGGTCCAAAATGTGCCTGTCAAATGGGTATGTTGGGCTCCCCGCCAGCCTGTAAACCTGAATGTATTGTCAGCTCTGAGTGTTCGCTACAAATGGCTTGCATCAATCGTAAATGTGTTGATCCCTGCCCCGGAGCTTGTGGCCAATTTGCCAGATGTCAAGTTATCAATCACAATCCAATTTGTACTTGCAATACTGGTTACACTGGTGATCCATTCACCCGATGCTATGAAGAACCAAAGATAGAGGCACCACGCGAACCCAAACATCCATGTGTGCCATCACCATGTGGCCCCAACTCAGAATGCAAAGAGGTGGGCGATAGCCCAGCATGTTCGTGTGCTGCCAATTTCTTGGGTACACCACCAAATTGCCGACCAGAATGTACCATCAATCCCGAGTGTCCATCGACGAAGGCTTGTATACGCCAGAAATGTGAAGATCCCTGTATCGGTTCGTGCGGTTTCAATGCCCGCTGTACCGTTGCCAATCATATGCCGATTTGTAGCTGTGAAGCAGGTTTCACCGGAGATCCATTTTCAAGCTGTCAACCAATACCAGGTAGGAATTTGTTTTCAATATTGTCCCATATGTTAGGTATTAGGCATAACCAAGGGAATAGTTATAGTAATTTATTGGTGGTGGATGTAATCAAGTGATACGAAGAACAACAACAAAAAAATAATGAAATGTTGAAAAAAATACCTATGGAAAAAGACACAAATTGAAAAGCAATATTGCGGGAAGCAAATTAATATTGATGCCTTAACTAAAACCAACCAAAACAAAGAATAATACCATGAAGCTTTATTAAAACAGTTATGGAAACAATAAGAGCTTTTGAATAATTTAGTATGATTAGAAATTTATATATGTTGGTTATGCCTAAAACAAAGAATGAAATTGTTTTTTAGAGTATGTTTACATTTTAATAAGAGAAACGGAAAAATTGTGGATCTTGAGATTTTAAGGAAGATGTTATGTGCAATTAAATACGTTCAAAAGATAGCACCAGAACTTATGGCAAAATGGGCTTGAAATCGATGAATATCTCACATTATAAACTGTTGGGCGCCAATTCAATCTGACGTTCGTTCAATATTCTTAAACAGACCAAAGAAAAGAAGACTTCCCCTTTAATTTAGATAAAAATATAATTTAAATCTGACTATACGAAAATATTTAAAAATAGTTTATACATTGGGCGCCACTCTATATTGCATAAACCAAAAAATAATTTATTCTCTATATTCGATTACGCTGGGCCCAAATAATGTAGCGAAATACGTTCGGTAGTCAGCGGAGCAGATTCTTACTGATATTTGGGTATTAATTAGGAACAAATGAAAATATTTTAGATGTAGATGATCTGTTGGGCGCCATTTTTATATGAAGTTAGCAAAATAAGGTTTATTTTCCGGTTTTTGTGTTCAAGTTTCAATATGCATCTACATCATTTGTTCATCCCACGTAACTTATTAATTTGGGCACCTAAAATTATAAAAAATGTATTCGGAAGCAGTCGCTTAAAGACGTTTTCTTCCTTGTATGCTATGTTCACATGACACTATACATAAAGCGAGTTCTTGCCAATACTTGGGCGCCAAATTCGAGTCTTCAAATATATTCCAGGCTTAGATGATTCGTTGGGCTCTATTCGTTTTTCAATATGCAAATAAATTAAAATTTTATTTAAATTGCAAGTCCCACGTACCAAATTACATTGGGCGCCAAAATTGCTAGGAAATGCTTTTGGAAGCAATCGTTAAAGACAATCTCTTCCTGGTTTGCTATGCTTTCAAGAAAATATACATATAGCGAGTTCTTGCCGATACTTGGGAAAATATTCCAGACCTAGAAGATTTCTTGAGCATTTTCAGTACGCAAATATATTAAAATTTTGTTTAAATTGTTAATCCCACGTACGAAATTACATTGGGCGCCAAAATTGCTAAGAAATGTTTTTGAAAGTAGTCGTTTAAAGATGATTTCTTCCCTGTTTCCTATGCTTTCCCGAAACTATACATGTAGCGAGTTCTTGCCGATACATGGGCGCCAAATTCGAGCCTTCGAATATATGTCAGATATAGAAGATTAATTGGGCGCCATTCGTTCTAAAATATAGTTGTTTAAAGACATTTTCCTCCTTGTGTGCTATACATGAAACTATACACATAGCGATTTCTTGCCGATACTTGGGAGCCGAATTCGAGCCATCGAAAATGTTCCCGGCCTAAAGATTTGTTGAGAGCCATTCTATTTTCAATAAATTTTGTTTAAATTGTTCATCCCACGACCAAATTATATTGGGCGCCAAAATTCCTAAAAAATGTTTTTTGGAAGCAGTTGTTCAAAGACGATTTCTTCGTTCTACCTAGAACTAGACCTAGAAAATTTGTTGGCATCAAGGTCGCTTTGGATGACTTTCGGTATCAATTAGTTGTGGACAATGGCCAAATCTTTTTTTCTGAAACAAATCACTGTGTATAGCAAGTTCTTTAGTGGCACTTTGGCGCCAAGCGTGAGCATACGAAAATATGTACGATATTGGGCGCCATTCGTTTTAAAATATATCAAAAAAATGTACCACTGAAAATATCTTGCATTGATAACAATGCTTTTAAACATTACTCTCGCTATTCAAAAAGTTCACTCAGCCCAATAAATCGTTTGATCTCCATTCAAACTCAAATACACTGAAGATTTTTTTCTAGATTTATAGACAGCAATAATAAAATTGCTAGAAACTTGGAAATTAAAAAAAATTAAATTTTTCTCATTAGTTTGATGTTCTTCTAGTTTAGAAGGAAATTTATACAGACAAGTGTTTATTTCTATGGTTCTGTTATGTTAAGATGTCAAGACAAGGCAAATTGCTATGACATTTCTGGAGGGTTTTCGATATTTTATTTTTTGTTAGTAATTACTATACTCACGATCCATAATTCCTGAAGTTTCTCGCACATTTGTTTTATTACGAAAATCACATACATTTGAAGCTATTTATCTGTTTCATTCTTTGTCACCCAACACAGCGCACAAATTAGAACTAAGTTTTACACAAATCAAATATAAAAAAACAAACTCGAAAGAAAAATTTGATCTTTTTTATGTTTTGCAAATCACAAAATGAATTCATTTCACATTGTTCCGTTTTTTTCACAATAAATGTTTGTTTTCTATGTGTTGCCACTTTTGCAAATGAGCACACGTTTTACACAACTTTTTTATGTGTTCACTTCATGTTCACTTTTTTCATTAAAAAAACGCGTTAATATATATTTTTAAATAATAAAAAACAAGAAATAATAGCTGAATAGTTCTAATTTGTTAAAGCGTTGTTAGATGACCCCAATTTTTTGTATTTTTAATAAAAATTGTGGCTTTATTCCCGACAAACACAACTGCATTGCAAAAAAAAACGATAAAAAATATTTATTTATACTTAAAGATTTAATTATTTAATTTCATTTAAAATACAAATATTCTCGAGGTTCCAATAGTTTATATTCTTCTGACATGACAACAAAGAGACAAAACGACAAATTCGAGCCTCGTAACCCCAATTGACTGTTTAGTAATGAACCTTAATTTGAGAAATATTCTAAAGCTGACACCCTGCAATAGCTAATTGTCATACATTGGGCGCCAATATAAAAATATTCAGCACTATTTAAGCTACATTTCATCAAACAATTATTTATTGGGCGACATGCCGAATGACGTTGATGCAATAATTAATTACCATACGTTGGGCGCTAATATGAAAATCGTTGGCACTATTTTAGCTGCATTTCATCTTCGGCACTATTATATCTACATTTCATTAATCTATTACCAATAGGGCGCCAGGTATTCTAAAGCTTACACTCTACAGTAGCTACCATACGTTGGACGCATGTTGGGCGCCAAACTTGAAAGTGGGAGACTCGATAGAAAATATTCAAGGAAATAATCTGAATTGTTACAAAATCTTTTTGTATAGATACAGCTATATTAGACCAAGTATTTAGCGAAATATAAAAATCTCAGTAATTATTTGACAGAATGACATTTGAGGACACATGTTTTATATACAAGACAAAAAAATACAAAACCTCTAACTGTTGGGCGCCATTGTCTTCAGATATCTGGACAAAACCAACGAAACGAAACTTGAATATGAGAATCTCGAATGTTTCTGTCTCCATAAAACATTCATGGAAATAATCTGAAATGTAGCAAAATCTTTTTGTACAAGCACAGCTACATTAGACCCAATATTTAGCAACAATATAAAAATCTCAGTAATTATTTGCTAATATATTGGATTTTTCTATCTCCAAGAAATAGCCAACGAAATAACCTCAAATGTAGCAAATTTATTTTGTGCAAAGTTTAATGACAGCTACGTTAGCCCACATATCCTATATTGGGGGACAATATGAAAATCTCAGTAATTAATTGCTAATGTATTGGGCGCCAATTGAAACTACTTCACATTCAAATTCTAGACGCGACATGGCGACAAATAAAGACATATGATATACTGGGGGACAACATAAAAGTCTCAGTAATTATTTGCCAATAAGTTTTGCGCCAATTCAGCCAAATCCGACAGTATCATATTTAAAGACAGATTTCTGATACACAAGAAAAAATTCAATTTTTGCGAACATGTTGGGCTCACACAGTTTTGATATACAACAAAAAAAATATACAAAAGCACTGACTGTCGGGCGCCATAATCTTCAGACAATTAATAAGTTATGTTAGCCTTAATTTTCTTATTTTGAAACATTAAATGATCGGACTTGGATACCAAAAAGTTTTAAAGACTAGAATTATATAAACCTATTGGAAACAAATTAATAATTAATTTAATAAATAATTTAGTCCATCATTGATAAAATCGTTTACGGCGAAATGCAGATTCCAATAATGACTTTAATTCTGTACGAATTGTCTGAATTTCAAAGTCTATTGGAAGTTGTTTGTTGGTTATTATTTTGTTGTATCCCTGAAAAACAAATAATTAGCTAATAGAACTTATTAGCTGAATAAAGTCAAAATTTTTATCATTTACATTACATCTTTAATATTGTAATTTAATAGTAGTTAGAATGCCTTTTTATACCATATATACATATATATTTTATTTGAAATAAGCCCTAAAACATATTTATATAACGCAAAACTGCCCTGCCAACTTTTACTGCCTTTGCCCTAATATCTGCCTTAATAATTCTGGAAATGAAAATAGTATCGATAACATCGTATTGCTGCTTTTTTTGACGACGAAAATAATATTCCACTACACCCACCCACCCTTAAAAGAGTTATTTATATACATTGTAGTTGTTTCGTACGATCCATTATTTATCATACCACACGTTTGAGAAAACTGCTGCAAAATTTTTAGTACAATGTTGGGCCAAAGGCCATAACCCTTGGTTTCGAAACTGAATGCTTTGGTTTTATTTTTTCGATAAGAAAATTGGTTTTTGAAAAACACAATTGACCCGTTTACACCCCTTAAAAGATACCAACATTATGGTTAACCACTTGTCACGGCGTTAAACTTGTTTTGAAATTTCGTTTTTATTTTTTTGCGCCTAATAAAAGTCTAACCCCCCTTAACCCCTGCTGCCTTTGAAAAATATATTTTGGCCCCCACATTTTGAAATTGTAGGCAAAATTATAAACTTTTGGATTTTTTGCTGCTACTCTAATAAAAAAAAACACAAATAAACATCGTTGGTTATTTTGTTCGACTTTTTTTGAAAATTCTGCTTCCTAATTCGTTAATCATTTGTAGTTAATTATTAGCATTAATCCTTAATTAAAAACAAAAAAAAAAACAAGCAAATTGTAACCTCTCATAAAATTTGCTAAACCGAATTAATAACAATAAACAAAAATAATAATAAAACAAACGAAAATAATTTAAGCGTTTTATTTCGTGCATACTGAACACAGCTCGTAGTGTTGCCATTACTGAACACAGCCACCAGCCACCTAATCAAAACACTAAACAAAACCACACATGTTACACTATTACTCCCCCAGCTCACAGTCATACACACCCACACAAAATTGAAAATTAATCCTCAAAGAGAGAGAGAACCCTCTCGCAAGAACCCTTTAGAGCACCATTATTACACAATAATTATAGTTACTGCCACCTTGTGGCGATTTTTCGTATTAAAAAATGAAAACAAATCATAACATATTTTCATGCGAAATGTAGTGCGAAAACAACAACAACCACAACATTAATATGAAATTAAGTAGTGAAATTTGAAATAACCGCTCTCTCACCATATAAAGTGCAATTAAATGCTTTCGTGCAAAACGTTCTCACCACGCAAACTCACCACCAAGCAAACTCAACACCAGAGTATGTAATACTAATACCAGCCCCAAGCTATGCCCACCCTGTATTTTGTGGTGTAGTTTAGGGGAGAAGTTCATGGAGTTTTGTTTTAATCGAAATCCATTTTTTCTCTCTCTTTTTTTCCCCTACCCCACGAATCGTAATGCCGTTACTTCGCCTCATTTGTTTAGAACGAGTTGTCAACGAACAAATCACACCCTGTGAACCCAATCCATGTGGTTCGAATGCCGTGTGCCGTGAACAAAACGGTATTGGTTCCTGTCAATGTCTACCCGAATATTTCGGTGATCCATATCAATCATGTCGTCCCGAATGTCTGCGCAATTCCGATTGTCCCACGACACGTGCCTGCACGCAAAATAAATGCACCGATCCCTGTCCGGGTACCTGTGGTTCGAATGCCATATGTACGGTAACAAATCACATACCATCATGTTCCTGTTTGCCAGGTTATACGGGTGCTCCGTATAGTTTTTGCCACAGGGCACCAGAGCAACGTAAGAGAATTATTTGTCCCCATCCCCTCTTCGTTAATAGGATATTAATTGCAACATTTCTTTCTTGGCTGTTTAGCAATTCGTCTCCAAGAACCCTCAAATCCCTGTTCACCATCGCCATGTGGTCCCAATTCTCAGTGTCGGGAATTAAATGGTCAGGCGGTATGTTCTTGTTTGGAGAACTTTATTGGTCTGCCGCCGGCCTGTAGGCCAGAATGTGTTCTAAGTTCCGAATGTGCCAGCGATAGGGCCTGCATCAATCAACGTTGTCAAGATCCTTGTCCAGGCACCTGTGGTCTCAACACGGAATGTCGTGTACGCAATCACAGCCCATTGTGTCAATGTAGGCCCGGATTTACGGGTGATGCCTTCACAAGATGTTTCCCCATACCACGTAATTATTTGATTTTCAAATGTCCTAGCAAGATTCCGGATTCAAAATTCTCTCTCCTCTCACTATCTTTAGCTCCTCAAGTCATTATAAAGGATATCGTACAGCGTGATCCTTGTCAACCCTCACCGTGTGGTCCCAATTCACAGTGTCGCAATAATCAGGGTGTACCCTCATGTACATGCCTGCCCAATTATATGGGCGCACCGCCAAATTGTCGGCCAGAATGTTCGATAAGTGCCGAATGTGCCTCGGACAGGGCATGCATACGGGAACGTTGCATAGATCCTTGTCCAGGTTCATGTGGTTTTTCGGCCGTTTGTAATGTGGTAAATCACACACCGGTTTGTACCTGTCCTGAGGGTTACACAGGTGATCCATTTAGTTCATGTAGTCCGGCACCTCCTGAAGAGGTTTACAGTAAGTTTTCTCCACGTTTTCATTTTCGTTTTCCTTGGGGATATAAAAAAATGTTAATGTCTGTATCCATAGATGAACCAACAGATCCTTGCCGTCCCTCACCATGCGGACCAAATGCTCAATGTCGAAATGGCATTTGCTCTTGCCTGCCCGAATATCAAGGTGATCCATATCGTGGTTGTCGTCCCGAATGTGTATTGAATGCCGATTGTAGCCGTGACAAGGCTTGTTCACGCAGCAAATGTGTGGATCCTTGTCCGGGTACTTGTGGTGACAATGCCATTTGTGAGGTTATCAATCACATACCCATGTGCCGATGCCCGGAGGGCACAGCTGGAAGTGCCTTTATTAGGTGTTCTCCTCAGCAAAGTAATTCGCCCGATTTATTTCTTAAAGTATCCGAAAATAATGTCCCCTATTTCGATCTAGAATTGATGACTCCCACAAAACCCTGTCAACCCTCGCCGTGTGGTCCCAATTCACAGTGTCGCGTCATAAATCAACAACCAGTCTGCTCTTGTCTACAAGGTTTCATAGGTGCTCCTCCTCTCTGTCGCCCCGAATGTACCTCCAACTCGGAGTGTCCACCAACTCAGGCCTGTTTGAATCAAAAATGCCGCGATCCATGCCCTGGAACATGTGGAGTTCGGGCACAATGTTCGGTTGTCAATCACAGTCCCTTCTGTACCTGTGCCAACGGTTTTACCGGAAATCCATTTGTCAGTTGTCAGCGCATAAGTAAGTTAGAAATTACATGAGGAAAAAGGAAAGTTAACGATCTCCTCCATCAATTTTGAATCCTAGTTGAACCGGTACGGGATGTTGTTCCCCAAAATCCCTGCAATCCTTCACCATGTGGCCCCTACTCCAGGTGTAAACCCATAGGCGAGGCACCATCCTGCTCATGTTTGGAGTCATACATTGGAGTGCCACCAAATTGCCGTCCAGAATGTGTTACCAGTTCAGATTGTGCCAGTAACTTGGCCTGCATTAATCAAAAATGTGTCGATCCCTGTCCAGGACGTTGTGGCCTAAATGCCGACTGTAGAGTAGTTAGTCATGCCGTGCAGTGTGTGTGCTTTGAGGGTTACACGGGAGATCCATTTGTCCAGTGTTCCCCAGCCCTGGAAAGAGATGTCATTGAAGTGCTCACTCCCTGCAGCCCATCACCATGTGGACCGAATGCGGTTTGCCGAGAACGTAATGGAGCTGGATCATGCACCTGCCTGCCAGAATATTTCGGCAACCCGTATGAAGGTTGTCGTCCCGAATGTCTACTCAATTCCGATTGTCCCTCGAATAAGGCTTGTCTGCAACAAAAATGTCAAGATCCCTGTCCTGGAACCTGTGGACAAAATGCTGAATGTCAAGTGGTAAATCATTTGCCAACATGCAATTGCTTGCCGGGTTATATTGGTGATCCTTATCGTCTTTGTCAAATGCCCGCAGAACGTAAGACCTCAAGTTGTCTTTATCCCCAGGTGGACTTGTTTCAACTAAATTCCTTTTTTCTCTTTCCCACCAAAGCGATACGCAATGAATATGTCAATCCTTGCCAACCCTCGCCATGTGGCCCCAATTCCCAGTGTCGTGAGGTAAATACCCAGGCAGTATGCTCATGCTTGCCTGAATTTATTGGGCAACCTCCGGCCTGTCGACCGGAATGTACAATTTCCTCAGAGTGTCCCGCGGACAAGGCTTGTGTTAACCAGAAATGTGTTAATCCATGTGCCAATTCGCCATGTGGACAAAATGCCGAGTGTAGGGTTCGCAATCACAGTCCTTTGTGTTCTTGTAATCGTGGTTATACCGGTGATGCCTTCACCAGATGTTATCCCATACCACCACGTAAGCTATTTTTCTAATCCTAGTTAGATTCTTGGTAAAACCAACAAATTTCCATTCAATAATTGTAGCACCACCACCTCAAGTGGAACGTGAAGAAATCCGTGATCCATGTGTGCCCTCGCCTTGTGGACCTAATTCGGAATGTCGCAATAGCAATGGTGTACCCTCATGTTCGTGTCTGGTCACATTTATTGGCCAGCCACCGAATTGTAGACCTGAGTGTACCATAAATTCAGAATGTCCCTCACAACAGGCTTGCATCAATCAGAAATGTAGAGATCCTTGCCCTGGAGCATGTGGTTTCAATGCCATTTGTCGTGTCATAAATCACACACCATCGTGTGCTTGTCAGGAGGGTTACATTGGTAATCCATTTACTAGCTGCTCTCCCAAACCGCCAGAACGTAAGAAAATATGCCACTCATGTAAACGCCGTTTCTCAATCAAATGTTTTACATCACAGCTACCTCTCCTCCTCGTTTGGATGATCCTTGCAACCCCTCGCCCTGCGGCCCTAATGCCCTTTGTAATAACGGCCAGTGTTCTTGCATAGCCGAATATCAAGGTGATCCTTATGTCGGTTGCCGACCAGAGTGTGTTCTCAATACGGATTGTCCTCGCAACAGGGCTTGTATCCAAAATAAATGCATGGATCCATGTCCTGGAACATGTGCCGATACGGCCATATGTGAGGTTCACAATCACGTACCAATGTGCCATTGTCCCGAAGGAATGACGGGAAATGCCTTCTTCGACTGTCGTGCCATACCAAGTAATAAAGTCACGAATTTCAACTCCTTATGTCGCCCGCTGACTTCTGAATGTTTTTTCTCGCCTTTAGCTCCTGTGCCAACAAACCCTTGTCAACCCTCACCATGTGGTCCCAACAGTCAATGTCGTGTTGTCCAGGATACAGCCGTTTGCTCATGTCTACCCAATTTCATTGGCAGTCCTCCACAATGTAGACCAGAGTGTACCACAAATTCTGATTGTGCACCCGATCAAGCTTGCCAGAATTTGAAATGCCGTGATCCATGTCCGGGCACCTGTGGATTCAATGCCATCTGTAACGTTGTCAACCATGCGCCGTACTGTACCTGCCGCCAAGGCATGACTGGCGATCCATTTGTAAGATGTGAACCTGTTTTGGAACCAATTAGAGATGTTAAGACACCCGTCAATCCATGTGTTCCCTCACCCTGTGGTCCCAACTCGGAATGTCGTGTCAATGGAGATTCACCATCATGTTCCTGCCTGCCAGAATTCATTGGAGCTCCACCGCAATGTCGCCCAGAATGTATTTCCAATTCTGAGTGTGCTTCTAACATGGCCTGCATAAATCAAAAATGCCGCGATCCCTGTCCAGGATTGTGTGGACAGAATGCTCTGTGTAGGGTGTTCTCACACACACCAATGTGTTTGTGTGAGCAAGGTTTTACCGGAGATCCCTTCACGGTGTGTAGTCCAGTACAGCAAGCACCACCAGAAGTTTTGAGGCCTTGTGATCCCAGTCCCTGTGGTGCCAATGCCAAATGTGAAGAACGCGCCGGTGCCGGATCATGTCAGTGTCTGCCAGATTACTTTGGCAATCCCTATGAAGGTTGTCGCCCTGAATGTGTCTTAAATTCGGACTGTCCATCTAATAAGGCTTGCCGTAATCAAAAATGTGTGGATCCTTGCCCCGGAACTTGTGGTCAAAATGCCGAGTGCCAAGTTATAAATCATTTGCCCTCATGTAACTGCTTCGCTGGTTATACCGGAGATCCGTATAATTTCTGCTCTGTAGTAAGAGATGAACGTAAGTGGCGTCGTTTTTGTCATGCGACGAGCCTAGATTCTCAATGCTCTAATTTGTTTTTAGCCATACGTGAATATGTAAATCCCTGCCAACCTTCGCCATGTGGTCCCAATTCTCAGTGTCGGGAAGTTAATCAACAGCCCGTCTGTTCTTGCCTCCCAGACTACATTGGCTCACCACCAGCCTGTAGGCCGGAATGTACATCCAGTTCGGAATGCGCCGCCGACAAGGCTTGCATTAATCGTAAATGTGCCGATCCTTGTCCTGGCGTGTGTGGTCAAAATGCTGTGTGCAATGTAAGAAATCATAGCCCCATATGTTCGTGTAGCAACGGCTTTACTGGTGATGCTTTCTTACGTTGCTTCCGCATACCACCGAAGCAATCCGAACCGGTTGTCCAACAACCACCCAGAGATCCATGTGTACCATCGCCCTGTGGTCCCAATGCACAATGTCGTAATGTGGGCGGTACACCGTCCTGCTCATGTCTACCCAACTTCTTGGGTTCACCGCCACAATGCCGACCCGAATGTACCATCAATTCGGAATGTGGCTCCGCCCAGGCTTGCATTAATGAAAAGTGTAGAGATCCATGTCCCGGTTCTTGTGGCAGTAATACAGTTTGTTTTGTGCGTAGCCACACACCGATTTGTAGCTGCCAACCCGGTTATACCGGAGATCCATTCACTGTTTGTAATCCTATACCACCGCCACAGAGTAAGATTAGCTTAAATTTCCTACCGAAGAGAAGGTATTAATTTGTGTGTTTAAATTATGTCTCAGCCGAAATTGTGCCTGCCGACGATCCTTGCAATCCTTCGCCATGCGGTGCAAACGCTCAATGCCGTGATGGACAATGCTCCTGCCTGCCAGATTACCATGGTGATCCCTACACTGGTTGCCGACCTGAGTGTGTTTTGCACACAGACTGTGCCCGTGAAAGGGCTTGTGTTCGTCACAAGTGTGTGGATCCTTGCCCAGGAACTTGTGCCTCGAATGCCATATGCGAAGTAGTCAATCACATACCAAATTGTAGGTGTCCAGAAGGTATGCAGGGTAATGCTTTCACCTTCTGCTCTCCCATTCCAAGTAAGCTCATCGTAGGGATATTGCGTTGCGTATTAAGATTTAATGGTCCATGTATTTTAGAACAAGATATACCCTCAAATCCCTGCCAACCATCACCATGTGGTCCGAACTCTCAGTGTCGCGAAATCAATGGACAAGCCGTGTGTTCTTGCATTGAAGGTTATATGGGAAGCCCTCCATTGTGCCGCCCAGAATGTACCACCAATTCAGAGTGTCCTCTCAATCAGGCTTGTCTGAATCTAAAATGTTCTGATCCATGTCCGGGAGTTTTTGGTCGCAATGCCATTTGTCATGTCAGCAATCACAGTCCGTTCTGTAAATGTCCCGACAGATATGATGGCAATCCGTTTGTAAGTTGTCAACCCATGCGAGATCAGCCTACACCACCAGCACCCAAACAACCTTGCCAGCCGTCACCTTGTGGTCCTTATGCCCAGTGCCGTGAGATTGGCGAGACACCTTCATGTACCTGCCTACCCGATTATGTGGGAGCACCGCCAAACTGCCGCCCTGAATGTGTTACCAGTTCCGAATGTCCTTCGAACCAGGCATGTATCAACCAAAAATGTAAAGATCCCTGTCCGGGATTGTGCGGCAGCGGTGCTGAATGTAGAGTGGTGTCGCATACACCAAGTTGCTATTGTCCAGCCGAGTTTGAGGGCGATCCATTTGTTCAATGTGTTCGCAAACAGCCTGTTCCCCAACTGGAACAAGTTGATCCATGCAATCCAAGTCCGTGTGGCCCTAATGCCCGTTGTACCCAACGAAACGGTGCCGGTTCATGTCAATGTTTCCCTGAATACTTTGGTAATCCCTACGAAGGCTGCCGTCCCGAATGTGTTTTGGACTCTGATTGCGCCAGCAACTTGGCTTGTCAAAACATGAAATGTCGTGACCCCTGCCCCGGTACATGTGGTCAGAATGCCATCTGTAACGTCTTGAATCATAGGCCTAATTGTGTTTGCATACCGGGTTATGCTGGAGATCCATATCGTTTGTGTTCGCTCGAAAAACAACGTAAGTCGTCCGAGAGGAAAAGAACTAGTTCAGAATTAATTTTTGTTTCCACTTTTGTGTGTAGCAATCAAAGAATATGTCAATCCTTGCCAGCCTTCACCATGTGGCCCTAATTCTCAGTGTCGTGAAATTAATGAGCAACCGGTTTGCTCTTGCTTGCCAGAATATAGCGGCAGTCCACCATTATGTAGACCTGAATGTACAATTTCATCGGAATGTGCATTCGACAAGGCTTGTGTCAATCAAAAGTGTGTTGATCCCTGTCCGGGAACCTGTGGCACAAATGCCATTTGTAAGGTCCGTAATCACAGACCATTGTGTTCGTGTAGAGCCGGTTTCACCGGAGATCCATTCTTTATGTGTCGACCAATACCTCGTAAGTTTTTATAGGCCATTTTGCGCAATGTTCGGCTTTATTAAACCAATGATCTTTTTTGTAAAGCTGAACCTCCGGTCCAAGAGGTACAAAAAACACCCGTCGATCCTTGCTTCCCATCGCCATGTGGCCCCAATTCAGTGTGTCGAAATGTGGGAGATTCACCAGCATGTTCTTGTCTACCAAATTACATTGGAGCGCCACCTCAATGCCGACCTGAGTGTGTGGTCAACTCAGATTGTCCCAGCAGTGAGGCTTGCATTAATGAGAAATGTCGCAATCCTTGTGTGGGTGCCTGTGGTCTTGGAGCTCTGTGTGAGGTTAATAATCACACTCCAAACTGTAGATGTCCTGCAGGTTATACCGGGGATCCATTTACCGCGTGTAGCCCAGCACCACCACCTCCACCAACACGTAAGCTTAGTCGGAACATAGAGTCAAAGGAAATGTCGTTTAACATGTGGGTTTTTGTGTTTCTATAGCCACCGTCAAAGACGATCCTTGCAATCCTTCACCCTGCGGTCCCAATGCTCGTTGTGATGATGGTGTTTGTACTTGCCTACCCGAATATCAAGGAGATCCCTACAGCGGCTGTCGCCCTGAATGTGTTTTAAATTCAGATTGTTCCCGTGATTTGGCATGTATACAAAACAAATGTCGCGATCCGTGTCCGGGAACTTGTGCCGCAAATGCCCTTTGCCAAGTTATAAATCACATTCCAATGTGTTCATGTCCCGAGGGCATGACGGGCAATGCATTTGTTGTCTGCTCTCCTGTACCAAGTAAATATTTTCTCTCTCGATTGTGTGGCATTGGAAATCTCACTTCCGCAATTATCTCTCTTGCAGCTCGTGTTCAAACGAATCCATGTCAGCCATCTCCCTGTGGACCAAATTCACAGTGTCGCGTTGTTAATTCTCAGGCTGTATGCTCTTGTCTTCCCTCATTTTTGGGTACCCCACCGGCTTGCAGACCGGAATGTACGGCAAATCAGGAATGTCCAGCCAATTTGGCATGTGTCAATCAGAAATGTATTGATCCATGTCCCGGAGCTTGTGGCCGTAATGCTCAATGTTCGGTGACCAATCATAGCCCTTACTGTACATGTGTGGCCGGTTATACAGGAAATCCATTTGTGGCGTGTCAGCAAATCATTGAACCCATACGAGAGGATCCTGTACCCAAGGATCCATGTCGTCCCTCACCATGTGGACCCAATTCGGAATGTCGGGTTGTGGGAGAAACACCCTCATGTGCATGCCTCGAAGGATTTGTGGGTACGGCACCCTATTGCAGACCAGAATGTGTTTCGAATTCGGAATGTCCCAGCAACCAGGCTTGTGTCAATCAAAAGTGTAAAGATCCCTGTGTTGGACTGTGTGGAGCCTCGGCCCAGTGCCGTGTTGTATCCCATACTCCAATGTGTACTTGTTCCGAAGGTTTTACTGGAGATCCATTCACTCTCTGCACACCCATACCGGTGCAAATACGCGATGAACCAGTACGACCCTGTGATCCCTCGCCATGTGGAGCAAATGCCCAATGTTTGGAACGCAACGGCGCCGGAGCCTGTCAATGTCTGCCTGAATACTTTGGCAATCCCTACGAAGGATGTCGTCCGGAATGTGTCGTGAACTCGGACTGTCCCACCAATAAGGCATGTCAAAATCAAAAATGCCAAGATCCCTGCCCCGGAACATGTGGCAGCAATGCAGAATGTTCGGTACTGAATCATGCGCCTACCTGTAATTGCCTTGCCGGATTCACTGGAGATCCGTACAGTTATTGTGTTAAGCCGCAAGAACGTAAGCGAACTACAATAGAACGAGTTGTATTAACGCTTGCTAACCCTAACCTAATAGTAGACGTAGGCGTTGCACTAATAATTCCAGAGCACCATACCATTAAACCACCCCCTTTCCCCTCTTGAATCTCACCATATCATTTCATTTACATAAAAAATGTTCTATATTCATTTGAAATCATGTAGCCATACGCCATGAATATATCAATCCATGTCAACCATCACCGTGTGGTCCCAACTCTCAATGCCGGGTCATCAATGACCAGGCCGTGTGCTCATGCCTGGCAGATTTTGTCGGTGTGGCACCAGACTGTAGGCCCGAGTGCACAGCCAATTCCGAGTGTCCCCTGGATAAGGCTTGCATCAAGCGTAAATGTTCAGATCCCTGTCCAGGTGTGTGCGGTTTGAATGCCGATTGTCGTGTACGAAATCATAGTCCACTGTGTAGCTGTCGTCCCGGAATGACGGGTGATGCCTTTGTGCGTTGTTCTCCGGAGCCAAGTAAGAATAAAAAAAGTCCTGTTTACAAAGTGCGAAGTGTATACCTTTTGTTTGTCGACTTTTTCTAGCCATAAGACCTCCTCCGATTAAGGATGTACAAGTGTATCGTGATCCATGCGTGCCCTCGCCCTGTGGCCCATACTCAGATTGCCGTAATCAAAATAATCAACCTTCCTGTTCTTGTTTGCCCAGTTATATAGGTTCTCCTCCCAATTGTAGACCTGAGTGTAGTATTAATGCAGATTGTGGCTCTAATCAGGCTTGTATTAATGAAAAATGTCGTGATCCCTGTGTGGGTGCATGTGGTCTCAACACCGAGTGCTCGGTGATGAATCACATACCCTCATGCAGATGTCAAATAGGTTATATAGGTGATGCCTTTGTGGCATGTAGACCCGAACCACCACCACCAGTTTTAATCAAGGATGCACCACGTGATCCATGTTCGCCCAACCCATGTGGTACGAATGCCATTTGTTCGGGCGATGGTGTCTGCACCTGTTTGGCTGATTATCAAGGAGATCCCTACAGAGCCTGTAAACCGGAATGTGTTTTGAATTCCGAGTGTCCATCGAACAGAGCTTGTATAAATCAAAATTGTCGTGATCCCTGTCCGGGAACATGTGCCCCTAACGCCTTGTGTGAGGTGCACAATCATGTGCCCATGTGCCACTGTCCCGCCGATATGACGGGTAATGCTTTCGTTTTCTGTCAAGTCATACAAAAAAGTAGGTTTTTTCTGAGCATCTTTTTGTGGTTCTGTAAATCTAAATGCCTTACATTTTCTTAAAGCTGAGGTTTATCGCAATCCTTGCCAACCTTCTCCCTGCGGTCCCAATTCCCAATGTCGTGAAGTTAACTCGCAAGCTGTCTGCTCTTGTCTGCCCAATTATTTGGGTTCACCACCGAGCTGCCGTCCAGAATGTATTACAAACTCGGAATGTCCTGCAAATCTAGCATGCCAAAATCAAAAGTGTGTAGATCCTTGTCCCGGAACCTGTGGTCGTTTTGCTCAATGCAATGTTGTCAATCATAGTCCATTCTGTGCCTGTCTAGAGGGTTACACCGGTAATCCCTTTGTCCAGTGTCAACGCATAAGTAAGTTAAGACAACGAGAGTTGATCAAGCCCATGTGTGAGCGATAGGCTAAAATACCTGATTCTTCCTTAGTTGAACCCCAAAGAGATGTGGAACCAGCAAATCCCTGTCAACCTTCTCCATGTGGACCCAACAGCCTCTGTAAAACAGTGGGTTCTTCGCCTGCCTGTTCGTGTCTCAGTGAATTTGTGGGACAACCACCCAATTGCCGACCAGAATGTGTAACCAATTCGGAATGTGCCAACAATCAAGTTTGCCAAAATCAAAAATGTCAAGATCCCTGTCCTGGCCTCTGTGGCCAAAATGCTCTTTGCCGTGTGATAAGTCACACGCCCATGTGTTATTGTGAAACTGGCTATATGGGCGATCCATTTGTGTTGTGTTCTCCCATACCCCAAAGGCAAGAAATTGAGTCACTTGATTCCTGTAATCCGTCGCCGTGTGGAGCGAATACAGTTTGCTTACAACAGAACGGTGTGGGATCCTGCCAATGTCTACCCGAATACTTTGGCAATCCCTACGAAGGTTGTCGCCCCGAATGTGTTGTGAATTCCGACTGTGCCTCAAATAGGGCCTGCGTTAATCAGAAGTGTGTTGATCCATGTCCCGGTACTTGTGGCCAAAATGCTGAGTGCTTTGTACGCAATCATTTGGCCACCTGTAATTGCCTCTTTGGGTATCAAGGAGATCCTTATCGTTACTGCAGCAAAGAAGAGAAACGTAAGAACTCCCCCCGCCAAGATAATTGCAAAATCCCTCAATTATGTCCTTATTTTATACAGCCATCGTCAAGGAATATGTCAATCCTTGCCAACCCTCACCTTGTGGACCCAACTCCCAGTGTCGGGTGTTGAATGAACAAGCCGTTTGTTCTTGTTTGCCTGAATTTGTTGGCACACCACCAACATGTCGTCCCGAATGTACCTCCAGCTCGGAATGTCCCAACGATAGGGCTTGCATTAATCAAAAATGTCAAGATCCTTGCCCGGGAGTTTGTGGTCAACAAGCCGAGTGTAATGTGCGCAATCACATACCTCTTTGTTCGTGTCAATCCGGTTATACCGGTGATCCATTTACTCGTTGTTATCCCATACCACGTAAGTCATAGCATAAGACCGCCAAGAGTGAGAATATAATTAGACACGGTGAATCTTTATAGCTCCGCCACCGATTAGACAAAGTGAACCCATTCGCGATCCTTGTACCCCCTCCCCGTGTGGCCTCAATGCCCAGTGTCGCAATGTCAATGGCCAGGCCTCGTGCTCATGTCTGCCCCAGTATCTGGGAGCGCCACCAAATTGCCGTCCCGAATGCACCACAAGCAGTGAATGTCCTCTAAACCAGGCCTGCATAAACATGCACTGTCTGGATCCTTGTCCCGGTTCGTGTGCCTACAATGCCTTGTGTAGAGTACAAAATCATATACCATCCTGTTATTGTCCCCAAGGATATGTGGGAGATCCATTTACCAGCTGCCAATTGGCACCGGAACGTAAGACTCGCGAACTCTTACTTTGAAGCGATTCAATTTCAATCATCATTTGTTCTTTTAGCCAAACCCGTACAAGCCGAAGATCCTTGCAATCCCTCGCCGTGTGGTCCCAATGCCCAGTGTTCTAATGGTCAATGCTCTTGCTTGCCAGAATACCACGGTGATCCATATGTCGCCTGCCGTCCAGAATGTGTTCTCAACACCGAATGTCCCTCGAATAGGGCGTGCATAAATCAAAAATGTGTTGACCCTTGTCCCGGAACCTGTGCCTCAAATGCCCTCTGTGATGTGTACAATCACGTGCCCATGTGCCGTTGCCCTGATGGCATGACTGGCAATGCTTTCACACTATGTGAAGCGGAACGCCAACCCGTGAGAATTCAAGATCCATGTCAGCCATCACCTTGTGGTCCCAACAGTCGCTGTAGAGTTAATCAGAATACCGCCATCTGTTCGTGCATTGAAAATTACATTGGCAATCCGCCATCGTGCAGGCCAGAGTGTAGCATCAATTCCGATTGTGCCCCACATCAAGCATGTCAAAATCAAAAATGTGTAGATCCCTGTCCAGGTTCTTGTGGTCTGAATGCTCTTTGCCATGTGGTCAATCATGCGCCCATTTGTGTATGTCCCACACGTTATTCGGGCAATCCATTCGTTAGCTGCCAGCCGATTATTGAACAACCCATAAAATTGAAGGATAAACCGAATCCATGCCTACCTTCGCCATGCGGTCCCAACTCGGAATGCCGTGTCATAGGAGATTCACCGTCCTGCAGTTGTTTGCCGTCCTTCATTGGAACGCCACCCAATTGCCGCCCAGAATGTATTGCCAATTCGGATTGTCCCTCGAACAGGGCTTGTATCAATCGCAAATGTCAAGATCCTTGTCCCGGGGTGTGTGGTGCGAATGCCTTATGTTCTGTGATCTCTCACACGGCCATGTGTACTTGTGCTCCTGGCTACAGTGGAGATCCATTTACAGGCTGTTCCATACCACCTGTGAGAATATCGGATCCCATATCACCATGTGTACCCAATCCTTGTGGGGCCAATGCCGTTTGTAGACAAGAAAATAATGCTGGCTCATGTCAGTGTCTGGCCAACTACTTTGGCAATCCTTATGAGGGTTGCCGTCCCGAGTGTGTGGCCAATTCGGATTGTGCCTCAAACAGAGCGTGTGTCAACCAGAAATGTGTTGATCCCTGTCCGGGTGTTTGTGGCCTGAATGCCTTGTGTAATGTCGTTAATCATTTGCCCACATGTCAGTGTATGCCCGAGTTTGTAGGTGATCCCTATCAGAGTTGCCAATTGCCGATAAAACGTAAGTCGCAATGTTTTAGGATTCCCTTAGAGCTCCCCGTTTGAACTCTATCTGTTGTTGTTGTTTATCTATAGCCATTCTCAAAGAATATGTTAACCCCTGCCAACCCTCGCCCTGTGGTCCCAACTCCCAATGCCGCGAAATAAATCAACAAGCCGTTTGTTCTTGCCTCCCCGAATACATTGGAACGCCGCCCAGCTGTCGTCCAGAGTGTACCACAAATTCGGAATGCAGCTTTGACAAGGCTTGTGTACAACGTAAATGCGTCGATCCTTGCCCGGGATCTTGTGGATCGAATGCCAATTGTCGTGTTGTCAGTCATTCGCCAATATGTTCATGCCAGCCGGGTTATACTGGTGATGCCTTTACCCGTTGCTATCCCATACCGCCCAGTAAGACTTTTTGTGTTGTTGTGGACGAAGTGGGGTTCAATGCCTAACACTTGTTTTCTTTTATCCTTTAGCGCCAGTAGCGGAACCTCCGCGTGATGTTTCCCTGAACCCTTGCCTGCCATCGCCATGTGGCCAATATTCACAGTGTCGCGATATCGGCGGCGCTCCTTCATGTTCTTGCCTACCCGCCTATGTGGGATCTCCACCCAATTGTAGACCAGAATGTACCGTCAATTCTGATTGTCCCAGTTCTTTAGCCTGTATTAATCAAAAATGTCGCGATCCCTGCCCCGGGGCATGTGGCTTCAATGCAGAGTGTCATGTCATCAATCACACCCCAACATGCCAATGCCAGCCGGGCCTAGTGGGAGATCCGTTTGTCAATTGTCATGCTGCCCCCGTGGAACCTCAACGCAGTCCAATTGAACCGCAAGATCCTTGTGTACCATCACCCTGCGGTGTAAATGCCATTTGCCGGGAGGGCCAGTGTTCTTGTCCGCCAGACTATCTGGGAAATCCTTTGATACGCTGTCAACCAGAATGTGTTTTGAATTCCGACTGCCCCTCCAATCGGGCGTGTATACAACAAAAATGTAGAGACCCCTGCCCCGGCACCTGTGCTTCCAATGCCATCTGTGAGACCCATCAGCATGTGGCAATGTGTCACTGCCCCGAGGGTATGACAGGAAATGCTTTCACACAGTGTATGCCTTTGCCACCGCTTCGAGACACTCAACCATGTCAGCCATCGCCCTGCGGCCCCAATTCACAATGCCGTGTCTTGAATGATCAGGCCGTCTGCTCTTGTTTACCGGATTATATTGGAGCTCCGCCCTCATGCAGACCGGAGTGTAGCAATAACAATGAATGTCCCCTTAATCAGGCTTGTCTGCAACAAAAATGTCGCGATCCTTGTCCGGGTTCGTGTGGCACCAATACTGAATGCTCTGTTCGCAATCATAGCCCAATTTGTCGCTGTCTCAATGGATACAATGGCAATCCGTTCATAGGCTGTGAACGTATACGAATTGTGCCTCAATTGGATAGCCCCACCAAACCAAAGGATCCTTGCCGGCCCTCACCTTGTGGCCCCAATTCGGAATGCCGTTCCGTAAATGGCAATCCCTCGTGTTCGTGCATGAAAGATTTTATTGGTTCTCCACCAAATTGTCGGCCCGAGTGCGTCACAAATTCTGAGTGTCCTTCGAATCATGCTTGTATAAATCAGCATTGTCGTGACCCTTGCCCTGGAGTGTGTGGTTCCAATGCCCAATGCCGTGTTGTAAACCACACTCCTATGTGTTATTGCGAAACTGGTTTTACGGGAGATCCATTTACTTTGTGCTCACAGCTGCGTGATATTAGTCCACCACAGATTGTCCGACCTTGTGAACCCAATCCCTGTGGAGCCAATGCCGAGTGTCTGGAACGTAACGGTGTGGGAGCTTGCAAATGTTTGGCCGAGTACTTTGGCAATCCCTATGAAGGTTGTCGTCCAGAATGTGTCATAAATTCCGATTGTCCAGCCCATTTGGCCTGTGTCCAAAACAAGTGTCGCGATCCTTGTCCCGGCACCTGTGGCCGCAATGCCAACTGTTTGGTGCGTAACCATTTGCCCACATGTAATTGTTTGAGTGGTTATACCGGTGATCCTTATCTCTACTGTAATCTGTTACCAGAACGTAAGATAATCTTATGCTTGCCTGGAAAGAGTTAGTTAATCGATTCCCCATATTTTAGCAATCTACGATGTTATTACCAACCCATGTCAACCTTCACCCTGTGGTCCCAATTCTCAGTGTCGCGAGGTACAAAATCAAGCGGTATGCTCTTGTTTGCCCACCTTTGTGGGACAACCACCAGCCTGCCGTCCCGAGTGTACTTTGTCTAGTGAGTGTGCCTTCGACAAGGCTTGTGTAAATCAAAAATGTGTAGATCCCTGCCCCGGCACCTGTGGCCTAAATGCCGAATGTCGTGTACGCAATCACAGTCCATTGTGTTCTTGTCTGCCAGGTTTTACAGGCGATTCATTTGTGCGCTGCCTACCCATACCGGCGAAACGTAAGATCAAATAGAACGGAAAATTCCAATTTGAATTTTCATCATTCATTCCCTTTTTCATTTTGTACAGCATCCAGTCCCGTCATTCTAAAGGATGTTAAACGTGACCCTTGTATACCCTCACCGTGTGGTTTGAATGCTCAATGTCGCGTCATCAACGAACAGGCATCATGTTCGTGTCTCAACAATTACTTTGGTTCGCCGCCAAATTGTCGTCCCGAATGCACCATCAATGCCGATTGTCCGGCAAATTTGGCCTGCATTAATGAGAAATGTCGCGATCCCTGTCCCGGTTCATGTGGCATATCGGCTTTGTGTTCTGTAACCGCTCACACACCAATGTGTTCTTGTCCCTCGGGCTATGTGGGAGATCCATTTACATCGTGTACACCAAAACCCGTCCAACAGGAACCAAGTAATATTTTTCATCAGCATCGTGTACCTTTGAGAGATGATTTTAATTCCCTTGATCTTAATTTTATAGTTACACCCAAGGATCTTTGCAATCCATCACCCTGTGGTCCCAATGCCCGCTGTGATAATGGGCAGTGTTCATGCTTGTCCGAATTCGAGGGTAATCCCTATGTGGGATGCCGTCCTGAATGTGTTTTGAACAGTGATTGCAGCCGTGATAAGGCTTGTATACGCCAGAAGTGTCAGGATCCATGTCCTGGTACTTGTGGCATCGCAGCCATATGTGATGTAATCAATCATGTGCCCATGTGTAGTTGTCCCGCTCAAATGACCGGCAATGCTTTTGTCCAATGTCTAAATATTGAAAGTATGTTCAAATTTCCGAAATTTAGAATTTTCTTTTCACAACCCCCTGATATTATAGCTCCTGTGCAGAAAGAACCCCAACATCCATGTCAACCCAGCCCCTGTGGTCCCAATTCTCAGTGTCGCGAATTCAACGACCAGGCAGTGTGCTCTTGCTTGCCCAACTATTTGGGATCACCGCCTTATTGTAGACCTGAGTGCAGCATCAATTCGGATTGTTCTCCCAGCATGGCCTGTGTTAATCAAAAATGTCGCGATCCTTGTCCCGGCTCCTGTGGCCTTCGTGCCGAATGTCAAGTTGTCAATCACATACCACATTGTAAATGTCCTGCAGGTTATACAGGCAATGCCTTCGTCATGTGCCAGCTACTGCCACCACCGCCGCCGGTCAAAATACAAGAAGAACCCCAAAATCCATGCATACCCTCACCATGTGGTCCCAACTCAGAGTGTCGTATTGAAAAGGGCTCCGCATCATGCTCATGTCTGGAGAATTACATTGGAGCACCACCAAACTGTAGACCGGAATGTATTAGTTCTTCTGAGTGTGCCAGCAATTTGGCATGCATTAACATGCGATGCCGGGATCCTTGTCCAGGAGTATGTGGTGAGAATGCAGTGTGCCAGGTTGTTAGTCACATACCGTCTTGCCTTTGTGTCAATGGTTATGTGGGTGATCCATTCACCCGTTGTCAACCTCCACCTCAGATTGAACGTGATCATGTTACACCCTGCTCACCGAGTCCATGTGGCAGCAATGCCATATGTCGCGAACAAAATGGTGCCGGTTCCTGTCAGTGTCTGCCCGACTACTATGGAAATCCCTATGAAGCTTGCCGTCCCGAATGTGTCCTTGATTCGGATTGTCCCTCCAATAGGGCTTGTCAGAACCAGAAATGCCGTGATCCCTGTCCCGGTGTTTGTGGACAAAATGCCCAATGTGATGTCGTCAATCATAAGCCTACTTGTTCCTGTTACCAGGGTTACTCTGGCGACCCATATAGCTATTGCAATGTGATTAGAGAACGTAAGAATTATAGTTGTCCTATAAGTAGTCCTAGACATGTGTACTTAGTTTGTAATTTGTTTGTAGCTATACGAGATTATGTGAATCCTTGTGTGCCCTCGCCCTGTGGTCCCAATTCACAGTGCAGTGAGTTGGAGGGCCAGGCGAGATGTTCATGTTTGCCCGACTATGTGGGTGTACCGCCCAGCTGTAGACCTGAGTGTACGGTGAACTCGGAGTGTCCCGCCACCAAGGCTTGTATCAATCGCAAATGTCAGGATCCATGTCCTGGTGTTTGTGGTGAGCAGGCCGAGTGTCGTGTGATGCAACATTTGCCAGTTTGCACTTGTCTCATTGGTTATACAGGAAATCCATTTACATTATGTTATCCTATACCGCCCCCACCGCCAGCCCGGGAACCTTATCGCAACCCTTGTGTTCCGTCACCTTGTGGCCCATATAGCCAGTGTAGAGTTATTCAGGGTGATCAATACACTTGTAGTTGCCTACCCTCCTACGTTGGTTCCCCTCCCCATTGTCGTCCAGAATGTTTGATCAACTCGGATTGTTCCACCAATTTGGCTTGCATAAATGAGCGTTGCCGCGATCCCTGTCCTGGTTCGTGTGGTTTGAATGCCCTTTGTTCGGTTACAAACCACATACCCATTTGTGTCTGTAGTCAGGGTTATGTGGGAGATCCTTTCACTCGTTGCCTGCCGGAAACGAAACCCATTGCTTCCATCACACCAATGGCTGACCCTGATCCTTGTCATCCCTCACCTTGTGGGCCGAATGCCCAATGTAGAGATGGAAAATGTTCATGTTTGCCCGAATATCATGGAGATCCCTATGTGTCGTGTAGACCTGAGTGTATTCTAAATGCCGAGTGCCCAAGTAATTTGGCATGTGTCAATCGGAAATGTCAAGATCCATGTCCCGGCACTTGTGCCTCAAATGCCATTTGTCTGGTGCATAATCATGTACCGATGTGTCACTGCAGCGAAGATATGGAAGGTGATGCTTTCGTTTTGTGCCGTCCCAAGCCTAAGCCCATAATGGATTTGCCCAATCCTTGTGTGCCCTCTCCCTGTGGTCCCAATGCCCAGTGTCGTGAACAAAATGGTGTTGCCATTTGTTCATGTCTGCCCCAAATGTTGGGTTCCCCACCATCCTGTCGTCGCGAATGTGTTACTGATTCCGAATGTGCCGCCAGTCATGCTTGCATTAATCACAAATGTCAGGATCCATGTCCCGGTAGTTGTGGCCAACGTGCCCTGTGTCATGTGGTAAACCATAGTCCCATTTGTTCATGTCCACCAGGTTATACGGGCAGTCCCTTCATACTGTGTCAACAACCAAGTAAGAATATGAACAGGCAAATTCCAGGCACCTTTAATAACTCTTTTGTTTTATTACCCATAGTGGTTCCACCACCACCAATTCGAGATGTAATACCCCAAAATCCTTGTGTACCCTCGCCATGCGGTCCCTACTCACAATGTGATCAGGTTCAGGGTTCTGCTTCTTGTAAATGTTTGCCCAACTATCAGGGCTCTCCACCCTACTGTCGTCCAGAGTGTATTTCCAATTCGGAGTGTCCATTCAACAAGGCCTGCATCAATCAAAAGTGTGAAGATCCCTGCCCCGGAGTATGCGGTGCAAATGCTTTGTGCCGCAGTGTCAACCATCTGGCCATGTGTCTATGTCAAGACGGATTTGAGGGAGATCCATTTACCTATTGTCGCCCTATTCCCCATGACATACCAACTGCTGTCGTTCATACACAAAATCCTCCTCCTTCTCCGCCGCCCCAGCCTGAACATGTAGAGCCTTGTATACCCAACCCATGTGGTCCCAATGCCGAATGCCTTTCCAACAATCGTGTAGGATCTTGTGTTTGTTTAGCCAACTACTATGGAAATCCCTATGAAGGTTGCCGTCCCGAATGCGTTCTTAACTCGGATTGTCCCAATTCGCGTGCATGCATACAAACCAAGTGTCAAGATCCTTGTCCGGGAACGTGTGGACAAAATGCCCGTTGTTATGTTAACAATCATTTGCCTTCGTGTTCATGCTACGAAGGTTACTCCGGTAATCCTTACAGTATCTGTCATCCCATACAACAAAGTAAGATGAGCTTCGAGTAAATGAAAGAAATAGATTTGACACTTCTCTCCTCCTACTTTTTCTTTAAACTATCCTAGGAGAACCTATAGTTGAATACACAAATCCCTGTTCACCTTCACCCTGTGGTCCCAATAGTCAATGTCGCGTAGTACACCAGCAGGCGGTTTGTTCTTGTCTAGCTGATTTTATTGGCACTCCGCCAGCGTGTAGACCTGAATGTACCACAAATAGTGAATGTCCCCTGAATAGGGCCTGCATCAATCATAAGTGTGCGGATCCCTGTCCCGGTACATGCGGTCTCAATGCCGATTGTCGTGTTATTTATCACAATCCCATGTGTTCATGTTTGTCCGGTTTTGAGGGAGATGCCTTCACCAGATGCTATCCCGTGCAACGTAAGATTGTCTCTTGTCTTAATTTCAATTTGCAGTTGTTTTCTAAATTCGATTTTCAAACTTTAGCCATTCCCGCCATTTCCCATGAACCAACAATGAGACCCCAATTCCCAACTGCATCTCTGCCACCTGTTGTAATCTATAAGACAACAACAAGAACTCCAATAATTTATGAAGAAGCCACAACAACAAGACCTCAGCAACAACCTCCGCATGTTGTTGAAGAGACCACCCGCCCAATAACTTCCCGGCCACCAATTATCTATGAAGAACGTACAACAACCGCAAAACCTCAGCAGCCACCTCTTGTTATCAACGAGACACCCAGGCCATTTACTTCTCGACCTCCAGTCATTTATGAAGAAGCCACGACCACAACAAGACCTCAACAGCCACCTCTTGTTATCAATGAAACACCCAGGCCAATAACCTCACGACCACCTGTAATTTATGAAGAGCCCACAACATCGAGACCTCAACAGCCACTTATCGTTGTCAACGAGACACCTAGGCCAATAACATCTCGACCTCCAGTAATTTATGAAGAAGCCACGACCACAACAAGACCGCAACAACCACCTCTTGTTATCAATGAAACACCCAGGCCAATAACCTCACACCCACCTGTAATCTATGAAGAACCTCAACGTCCAACTTACAGACCAGTCACATACCAACCCATTCCCGAACCCATAAATCCTTGTTACCCCTCACCTTGTGGACAATTTGCTCAATGCCACAATCGGCAAGGAATTGCCATTTGCTCTTGTCTACCCACTTATGTGGGCACACCGCCCTATTGTCGTCCAGAATGTACCATCAATTCGGACTGTCCCCCGAACAAGGCTTGTTTCAATGAGAAATGTCGCGATCCCTGTCCTGGTTCCTGTGGCTTCAATGCCCTTTGCAATGTCGTAAATCATGTACCAAATTGCGCATGTGAACCTGGATTTATAGGTGATCCTTTCACCGAATGTCTACCACCAAAGGTTACAATTAAAGACAATGAAAATCCTCCAGCCTATGAAGATCCTTGTATACCCTCACCATGTGGTGTCAATGCTGTCTGCAATGATGGTTCTTGTTCTTGTCTGCTCGAATTTTATGGTGACCCCTATGTTGGATGTCGTCCGGAATGTGTGCTCAATGATGATTGTGCGCGTGATAAGGCCTGTGCCAATCGTAAATGTCAAGATCCTTGCCCTGGAGTTTGTGGCATTCAAGCAATTTGTGAAGTACGCAACCATATACCCATGTGCTCTTGTCCTGTGGGTATGAGTGGTGATGCCTTCATGCGTTGTGAGCCCGTGAGAGATGTTGCGATTGTTGAAAGGCCTCGGGAGAATCCATGTTATCCTTCACCATGCGGTCCGAATTCCCATTGTCTAGAGGTGCGAGGTCAGGCTATTTGCAGCTGTGTAACAGGTTATATGGGTTCCCCGCCCGCATGCCGTCCGGAATGTTCTACCAACTCTGAGTGTCCTTCGGATAAATATTGTCTCAATCAAAAATGTAGAGATGCATGCGTGGGAGCATGTGGAATTGGAGCAATATGCCAGACGTATGATCACACACCACGTTGTTCCTGTCCTCCGCAGTACATGGGAAATCCGTTTATTCGTTGTTCGCCCATAGGTAGTTTATATCACAGCCCCTTTTCTGTCCCGTCACCGACTTTAATCTTCTCTGGAAATATTTTTACAGTTGAACCAATCCTTGAACCAATTAGGGATGTTGCTTCACCAAACCCCTGCCAGCCATCACCATGCGGCCCATACTCAGAATGCTCCGTTTCGGCTGACAATAGCGCCAAATGTTCTTGTCTTCGCGAGTATGTAGGTCAACCTCCTCGTTGTCGTCCTGAATGTGTAACAAGTGCCGAATGTCCCTCGGATCGATCGTGTGCTAATCAAAAATGCATTGATCCTTGTCCGGGTACATGTGGCCACCAAGCCGAATGTCATGTGCGGTCTCATGCAGCAATGTGTTATTGTCCGACGGGCTTTGTCGGAGATCCGTTTGTCCGCTGCGTTCCACAACAGGATCCACCAGTGGAAGTTTCCGTGCCATGTCATCCCAGCCCTTGTGGGGCAAATGCTCTTTGCCGTGAACACAATGGCTTAAGCCTGTGCCAATGCTTACCCAACTATTACGGCAATCCTTATGAAGTTTGTCGCCCCGAATGTGTGCGTAATGCCGATTGTCCCGCCCATAAAGCATGTCAGAATCTGAAATGTATTGATCCCTGTCCCGGTTCGTGTGGTCACAATGCCCGTTGTCAAGTGGTTAATCATGTGCCCAACTGTGTTTGTTTAAGAGGTTATGAGGGTGATCCCTATAGGCAATGTCATAGGCCTTTGGATGAACGTAAGATTACGTTTTTTGTTTTTTTTTTGTCTGCTTCACTCAAGAAAAATTAATAACTAATTATCCCAAATCGGGGAGTCCTAATTAAACACTTGTTAACAGGCGTTTTGTAAAATTTCAAGGAAAATTTTGACATTCGCTACAATCCACTACCCCTGGCGCCCAACGTGTGCACCCATTGTCCTTAATATCTAACTCTCTCTCTCTCTCTGGCTACGAAAAATAACCCATTGCCCTTAATACTTAACTCTTTATCTGGCTACGAAAAATAAAAACAAAGTAATTTTTCTCCCAGGAACAAAATTAATTTTAAAATATCCCTGGGATAAAATTCACTGCTCCTGGCGTCCAACTTGTACACCGATAACCTTTTTATATATTAAACCTAAAGCTACAGAATCCAATGGGAAACATAACCAATTGTTTTCTTTGCTCAAGAATTAATTATATTATAATTCTGTTCCTGGAGCCTAACGTGGCACTGAATAACTTTAATATTTAATTTCCTTTATGCAGCTATATAATCCGATATAAAAAATAACCAATTTAAATTTATTTATCTGCTCCTGGCGCCCAACGAGGCCCTATAATAACTTTAATCTCTTTTTTAATGCAGCTATACGACCCACCTGAATACGAAATTTACCCCCTTAATTATTTAATTTCACCAAACCTTATTTTTCGCTTCGAAATCAAATGCTTTGCTTATAAACCCAATGCTTTGCTTATACGCTTCCCCTAGAGTTTAAGTTATGCTTATAAGCGAATTGAAAGCTTTTATTTAAATTGCAAAACAATTAACATATCAAAACCCCCAAAAACATCTACAGCCAAACCTCCAGTTTATGTGAATCCTTGTGATCCCTCACCGTGCGGAGCCAATGCCCAATGCCGTGAGGTGAACAACCAAGCCGTTTGCTCTTGCTTACCCGATTTTGTGGGACCACCACCAGCTTGCCGTCCGGAATGTGTGGTTAGTTCTGAATGTCCCTCTGATAAGGCTTGCATCAATCAGAAATGTAGAGATCCCTGCCCTGGAGCTTGTGGCCTGAATGCTGAGTGTCATGTGAGCAGCCATAGTCCATTGTGTAGCTGCAAGCCGGGCTATACTGGAGAAGCTTTCACACGTTGCTTGCCCGTACCCGTGCCCAAGGATAATGAACCCCTACCGCCACCAGTGAATCCATGTCTGCCCTCACCCTGTGGTCCTTATTCGCAGTGCAGAGAAACCAATGGTGTGGCATCGTGCAGCTGTTTGCCCAACTATATTGGAGCCGCACCCAATTGCCGCCCCGAGTGTACCATCAATGCCGAGTGTGCCAGTAACCAGGCTTGTATCAATGAAAAATGTCGCGATCCTTGTCCAGGCTCCTGTGGTTTCGATGCTCTGTGTAATGTCATTAATCATACTCCCAGTTGCTCTTGCCCAGCGGGTTATACAGGAGATCCATTTACAAGTTGTCGGCAATTGCCTCCTCCACCACCACCAAGTATGATTCTTGACCTAAATGAATTTCTTCAAAATTCTTATGGCCCTCTTTTTTCCACCGCATTTCTAGAACCAAAAGATCCCATTGATCCCTGCAATCCATCACCATGTGGCTCGAATTCCGTGTGTCAAAACGGTAAATGTTCTTGTCTTCCCGAATACCATGGCGATCCTTATATTGGCTGTCGTCCAGAATGTGTTTTGAACTCGGATTGTGCCCGTAATCGTGCCTGTGTTCGCAATAAATGTGTGGATCCTTGCCCGGGAACATGCGGCCAGAATGCCCTCTGCGATGTCATCAATCACATTGCCATGTGCCGCTGTCCGGAACGTATGACCGGCAATGCCTTTGTGGCATGTGAAGCTGTACGAGAAGTACCACCACAAAATCCTTGCCAACCCTCGCCCTGTGGTCCCAACTCTCAGTGCGTGGAACGCAATGGCAATGCTGTGTGTTCCTGCATCACCGGATATTTGGGTAATCCACCAAATTGTCGTCTGGAATGTTACACCAGCTCGGATTGTTCCCCCATACATGCATGTATCAATAATAAATGTGTCGATCCTTGTCCCGGAAAATGTGGCCTAAATGCCGAATGTCAAGCTGTCCAGCATAGGGCCCATTGTGAATGTCTGCGTGGTTATGAGGGAAATCCCTACTCAATTTGTAATCGTATAGGTATGGCCCCTCCCCACTTAGATTTGTTTAGAAAAAAATTATAAGAATCGTTTTATCCTCGCTCTTCTAGAAATACGCCGAGATCCTCCCAAAACACCCAAGGATCCTTGTTATCCCTCGCCGTGTGGCCTCAATGCGCAATGCTTGGCTGTCAACGGTCAGGCGAAGTGTTCATGTTTGGCCGAGTTTATTGGTGCACCTCCCAATTGCCGTCCCGAATGCAGCACCAACGATGATTGTCCCAACAATTTGGCTTGTGTCAATCAGAAATGTCGCGATCCTTGTCCTGGTTCATGTGGTTTCAATGCCAATTGTATTGTCACCTTGCACATGGCCAATTGTTATTGTCCCACGGGTATGACCGGCGATCCGTTCCGCATGTGTTACGAGCGTAAAGAAAGTAAGGCAGAGTTTTGCGTTATAGAAATATGTGTTCCCTTTTTTGGTTTTCATCAAAGAAAAAATGTTAATTGAAAATCTAAATTTTTTACTTTACAGTTTTACCACCACAACGTGAAGAGCCCAAGAATCCTTGCCGCCCCTCGCCGTGTGGCAGCAATGCCGAGTGTCGGGTCCGTGGCGAAAGTTTCACTTGTGAATGTGTACGTGACTATATTGGCAATCCCTATGAAGGCTGTCGTCCCGAGTGTGTTGGCAACTCCGAATGTCCTGCCAATCGTGCTTGTATACGCCAGAAATGCGCCGATCCTTGTCCCGGAACCTGTGGTGTTGAAGCTGTTTGCTCCATCAACAATCACATACCAATATGCTCTTGCCCCAACGGCTACACCGGCAATGCCTTTGTCCAGTGCTCACCAATTGTGGTGCAGGAAATTCCCGTGGAAAAACACTCCGATCCATGTTATCCCACACCTTGTGGCCAGAATACCATTTGCCGTGTACAAGGCAAGCAGGCAGTGTGTGAATGTCTGCCTGGATTCTTTGGAAACCCCTATGGCCAGGAGTGTCGTCCCGAGTGTACGCTCAGCTCGGATTGTGCCAAGAACAAGGCCTGTGTCAACAATAAGTGTGTCGATCCTTGCCCTGGAGTCTGTGGTTATGGAGCTGTCTGCCAGACCGTCAATCACAATCCCATCTGTTCATGCCCCAGCCAAATGGTTGGCAATCCATTTGTGGAGTGCCACGAAGCACCCAAACAATTGGAACCTGTGGATCCCTGCAATCCTTCACCGTGCCGTACAAATGGTGTATGTCGTGTGCGCAATGGCGTTGCCACCTGCTTGTATCCCGAGTGTGTGGTGAACGAGGACTGTTCACGCGATCGCACCTGTGTCAATCAGAAATGTCGCGATCCCTGTATCAATGCCTGCGGTCTCAATGCCATTTGTACCAGTGTCAATCATAAGGCTGTCTGTACCTGTCCTGCCGGATTCTATGGATCGCCCTACAACCGTTGCATGCAACAAATTGATGTTGTGCCAGTACCGAAACCGGAATGTGTCTCGGATAATGATTGCAGCAATGACAAGGCCTGTGTGAACCAACAATGCAAGAATCCTTGTGAACTGGAGAATATTTGTGGTCTCAATGCCCGTTGCCATGTCCAACGCCACAGACCACTGTGTGTCTGCAATGAGGGCTATACTGGTAATGCCTTGAATAATTGTTACCTGATTGGCTGTCGCTCGGATGAGGAATGTCCGGCCACAGAGGCTTGCATCAATAAGCAATGTACCGATCCCTGCTTGTATACCCAATGTGGTATTCAGGCTATGTGCCGTTCCGACTACAATCACAAGGCCAGATGTCACTGTCCCGATGGTTATCGCGGTAATCCATTGGTACGCTGTGAAAGACCGGAATGTACGCGCGACGATGATTGTGCTTTTAATTTGGCCTGTCGCAATGAACGCTGTGAGGATCCTTGCAACTGTGGTCTCAACGCTCAGTGTCGTGTCAACAATCACCAAGCCCAATGCCGTTGTCCACCTGGTTATGTGGGCAACCCTGCTGTACGCTGTGACATCGAAGAGGCCAAGGTTGCACCCCAGTGTACCATGGATGCTGATTGTAGCAGTAAATTGGCTTGCTTCTCGGGTGAATGTAAGAATCCATGTGTTGTCACCAAACCATGTGGAGCCAATGCCAAATGTTCGGTGGTCGACACATTGCCTTTGCGTACCATGATCTGTGAATGTGAACCTGGTTATGTGGGTGATGCCGATGTTGGCTGTCGTAAGGGTAAGTCGAAATGTTCCTGGACAATAGACTACAAATTATGGAATAAATATTTCAAAATTGTACAGTTTTGATTTTTGTTGCAGCTTCGTTTTGTTTCAGCAGAAACCCAATCCAATCCCATTTTTGTATAGTCCTCACATTTTGAGCACGTTATGTTTTCTAATGAATTTCAAGCAAATCTAATTCTTAGTTCCCACAAATCTAACGAAGCACTCGATGCACTTTTTGCACCTCCAGTTTTTGGATAAGATAACTAATTATATTTTGTTATGTGTTCACAGAACCTGTACGCGATCAAGGTTGCCAGTCGAATGATGAATGTCCCTCCACCGAAGCCTGCCGCAATGGCAATTGTGTTAATCCATGCATTGATTCATCGCCTTGTGCTCGCAGCGCCGAATGTTTGGCCCAACAACACCGAGCAATATGTACCTGTCCCCAAGGAACCCAGGGTGATCCGTTCGTCAATTGTTATCAACCACGTAAGTCGAATTCAGTGAGAGTGATGTGATGGAGGAGAATTTTCTGATTTTATATTCTTTACTTACAGCTCAAATCACCGCTGGTTGTACCCACGATTCGGAATGCCCACCAACGGCTGCTTGCATCAACAAACGTTGTCAAGATCCATGTGCAGAGGGCAATCCTTGTGCCGGCAATGCAGAATGTAGGGTCCTCAACAATCGTCCCATCTGCTCATGTCCCTCAGGATGGGGTGGTGATCCTCAAATTCAATGTTTCAAACGTAAGTTTCCAGATTTACTCCCCGACCCTGACTAATTCCCGTTTCTTATTCCCCCAGCCGAATGTAAGATCAATGCCGATTGCCCCTATGACAAGTCGTGTATCAATGAAAATTGTGTCAACCCTTGTACCTATGGCAATGTACGCTGTGGCACCAATGCCCAGTGCGAGCCTCAAAATCACCAAGCCGTTTGCGTGTGTCCAGCCGGTACCCAGGGTAATCCATTTGTGTCTTGTATCACTGGCCATTGCCAGTACAATGAAGACTGTGCCGATCATGAGGCTTGCGATCGATTGAATCGTGTCTGCCGTCCCGTCTGCGATGAGGATACATGTGCCGTTAATGCCATTTGCTTGGCCAGACGTCATCAGCCCATGTGTCAATGCCCAGCCGGCTATACTGGCGATCCATATCAACAATGTTTGATGCCCAAACAACCACCTAGTGTCAAACCCAAACCGGAATGTACCCAGGATGCTGATTGTCCATCACAGTTGGCTTGCATTAATCAGCGTTGTGCCAATCCTTGTGCTGCTCCACATGTCTGTACACCAAGACAAACTTGCACCGTCTTGGATACCCTGCCACTGAGAACCATGATTTGCAAGTGTCCAAGTGATACCATAACCGATAATTCCGGCAATTGTGTACCGATAAAACACGATGTCATCGTGGGATGCCAACACAATGATGAATGTGCCAACACCGAAGTATGCCAGCGAGGAAGCTGCATTGATGCCTGTCGCCTGGAACGCTGTGGCGTCAATGCCCAATGTTTGTCCAGAGATCATTACGCCCAGTGTACCTGCGCCAAGGGTTACGAGGGTAATCCTAGGGTCGAATGTCGTGCCGTTGTCTATGAACAAGGCAAGACACCAGCTGTTGAATGTACCACCAATGATGATTGTCCTCATGACAAGACCTGTCGCAATGAGCGTTGCCGCAATCCTTGCGTTGACGAGCCTTGTGGTCATGGTGCATATTGTCATGTGCAAAATCGCCAGGCCGTTTGTCGCTGTCCCCCAGGCTATAGCGGGGAACCCAAACAAGGATGTATACCACGTAAGTATTGCTGAAAATGAAAAAAAAAAGAAACCTCGAACTAACCTCACTCCTCATGTCTTTCCAGCCCGCGATGTCATCACAGTCGGCTGTAAATCGAACAGTGACTGTCAACTTACAGAGTCCTGTGTCAATGACCAATGTATCAATCCTTGCAACTGTGGCCCCAACGCCGAATGTCAAGTACGCAATCACCATCCTATTTGCTATTGTAAACCTGGCTTCTCGGGCAATGCCCAATATGGCTGCATGCAAATCGGTTGCCAATCGGACGACGAATGTTCCAGCGATCAACAGTGCGTCAATCGTGAATGTGTTAATCCTTGTTTGATTAGTGATCCTTGCGCCTTGAATGCCGAATGCTTTGGCCGTAATCATCGGGCCACATGCCGTTGTCCGGCTGGCATGCAAGGTGATCCATTTGTCCGCTGCATACGTGTGGAATGTAATTCGGATTATGATTGTGCCTCCAATCAGGCTTGTGTCCAGAATTTGTGTATCAATCCATGTCGCGATCAAAGCAATCCCTGTGCCCAGAATGCCATCTGCCAGGCATTGCAACACCGTGCTGTATGCAGATGTCCAGATAATATGCCTCTCGGCAATGCCTATGCCTACTGTGAGAGCACACCTCAGGAACCAGTTTGCCGTGATGATGGTGACTGTCCAAGTGGCTTGGCCTGTATCGATGTCAAGTGTCAAAATCCTTGTACGGAGCTATCGCCTTGTGCCGCTTCGGCCCAATGCAGTGTTCTGGACAGTGTCCCAGTACGCACCATGGTTTGTGAATGTCCTACATCTTATGTGCCCGACTCAAGGGGCGAATGTAAACAATTGGTCCTACAAACTCCAGCTGGATGTTCTTCAGATTCCGACTGTTCCGACCAGGAAGCCTGCATCAATCGCCAATGTCGCAACCCTTGCAATTGTGGTACCAATGCCCTGTGCCAAGTCAACAACCATCGCGCCATCTGCTCCTGCCAAGACGGCTTCGAGGGCAATCCTTACACTCTGTGTAGATCAATTGGCTGCCGTGTGGATAGCGAATGTGATTCGGGCAAGGCCTGTGTCAATGGCAATTGCATTAATCCCTGCTTGGTTAAGGATCCTTGTGGCATCAATGCCGAATGTTATGTCCAGTCGAATCAGGCCATGTGCAGATGTAAGAGCGGATTCCGTGGCAATGCCTATGAACGTTGCCGTGTCATTGGCTGTCAATCGAACAACGATTGTCCTTCGGACAAATATTGCTACAACGAACAATGTGTCAATCCTTGTGTATACCAGAATACCTGCTCACCGCGGGCGGAATGTCGTGCCCAAAATCACCTGGCCATATGTCGCTGTCCAGCTGGATTCATTGGTAATCCGTACATCGACTGTTCGCCAGAGGTGCAACCAACTTGCAGACTCGACACAGATTGTCCTTCGCGCCTGGCTTGTATTGGCAACGAATGTGTTGATCCTTGCCTGGTATTGGAACCTTGCAACAGACCGGCCCAATGTGAAGTGACTCCCACATCACCCGTACGTACTATGATTTGTGTTTGCCCCGATGGCTATATCAGCAGTGGAAGTGGCACTTGTCAACCCACCAAGACCATCATTGCGGTAGGCGGTTGTGTGGCGGACTCGGATTGTCCCAGCGATAAATCCTGTGTAAATGGTGTGTGCCGCGATCCTTGCAACTGTGGCGTGAATGCCGAGTGCCGTATTAAGGATCACAAACCCGTGTGCACTTGTCGTCAAGGCTATGAAGGTAATCCCGAATTTGAATGTTCCAAGGTGGAATGTTCTATCAACTCGGACTGTCCATCGACACATGCCTGCCGCAACAATCTGTGTGTGCCCGCCTGTCAAGGAGAACAGTGTGGCTTGAATGCCCAATGTTTGGCTGTGGAACATCGTGCCGTATGCCAATGTATTCCTGGCTTTAGAGGCAATGCTCGAATTTCTTGTACCCCACTGGGCTGCCGTAGTGACAGCGAATGTCCCGCCGATAAGGCCTGTGTTAATGGCAAATGTGAAAACCCATGTGAAACGACTGCGGCCTGTGCCATCGATGAAGTGTGCAAGGTCTATCAGCATCGGCCACAATGCGCCTGTCCACCAGGAACGGTGGCTCGTCGCAATGGCTGTGAACCGCTGCGTGACATACCGATTTGCCAATATGACGGCGACTGCCCCAGCCAGACGGCCTGTATCCGAGGTGAGTGTATCAATCCTTGCAATGCCACCCAGCCATGTGGCGTCAATGCCAAATGTAAGGTGCTCGACACTGTGCCTGTTCGCACAATGATTTGTGAGTGCTTGGAGGGTTACACCGGCAATGCTGCAGTACAATGCGACAAGCGCTCCCTGTGTGTCATTGAAAAGGGCTTTGTAAGAGATATTGACGGACAATGTGTCTGCCCACCTGGAACTGCGTTGGATGTCTATGAATACTGTACTCCTTGCATTGCAGAGCAAGGCTTTAAGATTGACGAAACTGGCCACTGTGTATGCGCCCTGGAAAGAGGCTTCGTCATTGATGAACGCGGTCGTTGTATTTGCCCAACCAATCATGGCTACCATCTGACTAGCAGCGGTGAATGTATACCAGAAGTGTTACCCAAATGCATTACCAACGATGAGTGTGCTGATAATCGCTTCTGTCACAGCGAAACCAAAACCTGTGAAGATCCATGTCTGCTCAAGACATGCGGTGTCAATGCCTTCTGTAATGCTGTAAATCATCGTGCCCAGTGTCAATGTATTGCTGGCTATTCCGGTAATCCCGATTTGATTTGCAATCACACCAATTTCCGTACCGATTTCCCAAGACCCGATATGGTTGTATCCTGCTTGGCCGATGGTGTACAAGTGGAAATACACATAACCGAACCCGGATTCAATGGTGTTCTCTATGTCAAGGGTCACAGCAAGGATGAGGAGTGTAGACGTGTTGTCAATTTGGCCGGTGAAACTGTGCCACGTACGGAAATATTCCGTGTACACTTTGGTAGCTGTGGCATGCAAGCCGTTAAGGATGTGGCCAGCTTTGTTTTGGTCATACAGAAACATCCGAAACTGGTGACATACAAGGCCCAGGCGTACAATATTAAGTGTGTCTACCAGACGGGTGAAAAGAATGTCACGTTAGGATTCAATGTTTCGATGTTGACAACGGCTGGAACAATTGCCAATACTGGACCACCACCAATCTGTCAAATGAGAATTATAACACATGATGGTGAGGAGATTAACTCGGCCGAAATCGGTGATAATCTGAAGCTGCAAGTTGATGTGGAACCAGCAAGTAAGTTAAATGTAGAACCTGGAGGAAGAAAATGGATTTATTCAACCTTTTTTGTTTCGCTCTCTCTCTCTCTTTCTTTGCAGCAATTTATGGTGGCTTTGCCAGATCTTGTATTGCCAAGACCATGGAAGATAATGTGGAAAATGAGTACATTGTCACCGATGAGAATGGCTGTGCCACCGATCCATCGATATTCGGCGATTGGGAATATAATCCCGATACCAATAGCCTTTTGGCCAATTTCAATGCCTTTAAATTCCCCTCCTCCGACAATATACGCTTCCAGTGTAACATACGTGTATGCTTTGGCAAATGTCAACCGGTCAATTGTCGTGGCTATAATGCATTTGGTCGCCGTCGTAGACGTTCCATTGCCGACAATTCCACCGATGATTCAACAGCGATTGCCACCAACACCGGTATGGAGGGTCAACTGAGAGAGGAAATAACCATTTCGTCAAATGCCATATTGACATTTGAGAAGAGAACAACGACGGGAGCTAATGATGCAAATAGTGAGTATACAATGACAATAAGTATATGTAAATTGATTGGAACAAGATGTTAAGACATAAAAGTGAAAGAGATGAGATTTGTCATGGTTAAAATTATTTATTTATTTGGACATCGTTTAATTATTTATTAAACCATAAATATCATCCAGGCCAATTTGTAGGGCCGCTCAAGGCACAGTTATGAGAGGCCCATAAAACTCTTCAAGAGCATGGTCTTTCCATTAGATCATCCGCTGATTTCACCAGCAAATTTCTTCCGCATTGTCAAAATAAATGCCAATTGTGAATTAAATACTTTGACATTATGAGGGTTTTTCGATATTAATTGTAGTTTACACGACCTGATTAATCGACCTTGTTTAAAACCAGTCCAAATCTCAAAGTTTGGTTACTTTTTGTTCATATTTTTCACTGAGACGTCAATAACAATAGAGACGAACGAGGATTACAGTTTTTTTTTTTTTTTCCTTCAGCATCACAGTAATCTTATCTGGTGGTTGCAATGCAACATGTTAGAATGGAGATCGCTGAATGAGTGATTTATTTCAATTAATGCTTTCTAAGCTTCTATTTTTGAGAAGCGAAACTGTCGCCTAATATAATAGTAATAACTTAAATGGAATTCAAGGTTGCATTATTTGCTAAAGAGTTACAACTTTGAGATTAAATCTTATAACTATTGAATATGTTTACATTAATTATTGTAACAAATAGTTATGGGAACATAAAAACTACAACGGGTTTCTTCAATACTAATCTAGACATTCTGTTCATGGTATGTTTGAAAAATACTAAGACTACAGGCTTGACAGCGTAAATGTTGTATCAAAAATTAAAAAGCTTAAAAAGATGGTATGGGTAATTAGATGGAAACAATAGACAAGAGCCTAGTGCTTTCGATGAACACGCACTTCGCGCCGAGCTCCGCGCCCTCATAGATATATCGGAAGATATATGTGACTGATGAAGCAAGTTGATGAATTGTTATGCCTCTAAAAACGATTCACGTATCCCTACTTAGGGCAGACGATTTAAAGTGGATTTACACTTACTAAATTGAACGAATTTTAATTCTAACTTCCACTGCGTATATGTCAAATAAAATCGACTCCATTCTCGATTTCATTTGACGAATGCAAAATAGTATTGACAGTTAAAATTTGCTGGACTTAGTACGTGTAAACAGGCTTTCATAAAATGGGTTATTTTGCTTGTATTTCATCTTTGCGAACTTCCTTTCTGCCTCAACATTCGAACCTTCCCTATCTCTCCATAACTTGAGGAGTCTCGGACTTTTTAGAGTTTTTCTTTGTTTTTACATCCCTTTTGTCATCCCGTTTATCCCTTTTGTCTGCGCCATCGCAGGCTATTGGGATGCTGAAGGTGTATTACCCGCTAGATTACCTTCCACGATGATGCCTTGCCGTCGGAGGTCGCATCCATTGGTGCCGACCGATAAATTTCCATCCTTGGTGCTTGACCTCATCTGAGTACGACAAAGTTCAGTTCCTCTTTACAGAAAGAGGCGATTCGTACCCAAACCGAATGAAAAATGATAGATCACTCTCTTGGCTGAGCCTTGGGGTCTTTGCTCTGTCTTCGCATGCGTGGTACGTCAACAGATAGTCTACCCCACCCACATTACAAATCATGTTCTTGATCCTGTCCGTGGTCGATACTATCCAAGCAATCTGGTTGTTTGTTGGTTTTGTGTTTGTTTTCTTGTTATTACTTTGTTCCTTCATAAAAAATCGGGTCTGTGGGGGTTACAAGTTCTGGAATAGCATAGCCGCAACACAGTGGTAAGGACAAAGTATATCTAGGTATCTTTAAGTCGTTATTGACAACGTATCCAATTTTTTTTCCTTAAATACTTTTTAATATTAAATTTTGTTGAATCTCTATTTTATTACGTCTTGTAACCGAAATTTCTTTTTTATAAAAAAAAATAAATAAATTAAAAATACCTATTTACTAATGAAAAAAATTTTCTTCCTTTTCAGTCAAACCTGCCGCTCAAAGAGTTGAAGATATTTGTGTCTCCATGGTGGGTCTTATTATTGCCTTGGTAATTACAGCCCTATTGGCTTTGGTAGCGGTAGCTGTTGCGGTTTCCTGCTGGCTAATGGCCTATAGAAGAAGACCCAAGACATTGGCACCTCTACCTCATCCACCAGAGTTCCCCAATCCCCTGTTTGCCAATCCAGAAGTAGTGCCAGAACCAACACCAGACTATCTATCGTAAGATATAAGAAACCAACCAACAAAACAAAAACAAATATATATCCAAATGTGAGAAAAGAATAAGAATTACAAAATTAAGTTATATAAAAAATGAAAAAAAAAATTATAGAAAGAAAGAACAAAAAGAAAAACCTATTATTGTAAACACCAAGTGCAAAAAGTTTTAAACATATCGATTTTTTCCTTTTGGCAAATGACATTCCAACAACACAAACGCCAATGAAAGCGTTTCTAAAGAAAAAAACAAATTTATTGACAAGAAAATTAAAAGTATTTGAAAATAATGTAAAAAAAAAAGTTTTAAAAAAATTAGTTTAGTTGTAAAACACTTTTATTTTGAAGAAAGAAAGAGAACGTAAAAACCACTAACATGAGAGTTCCAAATAGTTTTTCTTCCTTCGATGCCAAACAGAGTTGCATTTAATGCACCCGTATCATACCTTTTTCTGTCTTCCTGCCTGCCTATCCTCCCCTTTAAAATGTATAGGAAGTGATTGTTTTTTTAATATAAATTAATTTAATTTAAAATATTTATATGTATAATACTGCCAAAGTTATATAACCAACACTGCTTTTAAGTTACAAATATTAAAAAAGAGAAGAAAAAACAAACAACGAATAAGGGCACAAAAGAAAAACAAAACAAAATAGCAACTCTGTTGAGGTTATTTCCCGAGAAAGGCAACAACAAACTATTTGGGAATTCTCGTACTAACGACAACTTCTTCATTAGTCAAAATATTATTTCCTTCCACCTTTTTTGTTTCCATCTAAAATAGTTGTATATATAGCTCCCTAGTTTCCGTCCAAAAGTCCCAGAAAATGTACCCATATTTCAAAAAGAAACTGCCATTTAAACAATGCAAACAAAAAAGACTTTTCCTCAATGTTTTCAAATAGTTAGTTAGCCAAACCGCAAAACGGACTATAGAACCCTAATATTCGCCCCCATTTAATACTCAGCAAGAAAGTGGTGTAGGGACTTTTAGTTATTGATCAAAAAAGAGATCCCAGTTTGAAGCTACCAGAAAGTCCCCGTTTTGCTACTTCTACAATCTTTATCTTGGGGGGAATAAACCTTCTTCTGAAATATCGAAAATAGCTTCCCTATTTTATTTTTATGTAAATGTTTTTTTTTTTTTTAATTTTAAATTGACTAATGGAGGATTTGATTATTATTAATATTTTTTTTAAATATATCATAAAAATATTAACTATTTTTTTATATAAATAACTGTTTTGTTTAATATTTAAAATAATTATGAATTTTAAAAGAAAACAATTTCTTAATAGGATATTCAAGGGGACACAAGATTTCTTCTTCAATAGTTTTCCCCTCCCCAGAAAAAAAAACAAAATTGGCTTCCACAAATGTGCCGGAAATATTGTTGGGAATTCTTTGAACTTTCCTTTGAAAGAAGCCCCTTAAAATATAGTTCTTGTCAAATTAAAAACAGCAGCGAATAAAGAGAACATATAGGTTAATGGTGGTTGTTTTTTCATAGGGAACCTCAGAAAGTTCTCCACAATATTTTCTCACACAAAACAAAACTCACCTAATTGAATGGACACATAAAACAATACAATAATATATTATAAATAATTTACACAATGTATAGTCACTTGTTTTAAGTCAATTTTCCTAATTACAAAATCAAACAAGAGTAGAAAAGATATTTTTCGAAACTCTTTAAAAAACAGCCCTTTTAAATATTAGCAACGAACGACTAAAACGTTTTTCCCTAAAACTCTCTTAACATTTTAACCACTCTCTGACTGATACTTCCAACCGAACCGAACTAGCGAACCCTATTATATAATGTTCACACAAGTGTAAATATTACAGATTTCTTATTTTTTCTTTTCCTTTGCTCGTAACAAGAAAAACAAAATCTCTTCAAATGAAAAACGTTTTAGATATATACATATTTTACATATAAGTTTATTTATCTTTGTTTTTTTTTTTTTTTTGTATATTAAAACACATTCCTATATAAATATTTCATTTGGTTTTTTTTTTATTTTTGCTAAATTGCACTTAATCGCTTCCTTAATGCCGCCAGGGCTTTATAGTTTTTTTTTACAATTTTTAACCCAAAAATAGTCACAAAATATCCCCACGTCCTTTTAAAATGCTTTTACTTTTCTTAATTTTGTTTTTTGTTTCTAAATTATTCTTTAATTCCCAATATTATTATATTTTTTATTTTCACACTTTTTGCACTGGCGTCTTAAATATTATTTAAAATAAAAATAAAACAACTCTGTATATTAAATAGTTAAATTTAATTTAAAATGAAAAAAACAATCTGTAAAAAACGAAATTATTTTAATTATAATAAAAATGCATAAATAAAAATAACTAATATTAAAAAAATAAATAAAATAAAATAATAAAAAAATAAAATTGTTGTTTAATTTCATAATAAAAAAAAAACATATATAGAAACAAGCCGAAAAGAGAAATTTCGGCGAGAAGGAATTTAATGCTGTCCAGAATGAAATACAGTAGCTCCAAGCGAAACTCGTAAAAGAAATTTATTTTTCTTATAACTTCCAAAAATCAAAATTTATAACAAAAAAAATATTTACATTTTATTAGTACACTATGCGAGCAATTTAAAAAGCAAAACAAAAACACTTAAAATTTTAATTCATTTAAAGTAAAAAAAATAAATAAATATTAAAAGAGATCATATTTCAATGCCAAAGCCAAACTCGTACACTTCGTATAATTTAAAGTATTTCTAGACATTAATATTTTGTATGCATTCCTTCATTTTTTTCCATTTGTAGCCTATTTGGCATACTTTTAACAAGTTTTTCGCAAAAGCTAGTTTCGATCTTTTGTCATTCTTCCAGCAAAGCTTTCTTCAAATCTTTTTTGCAAGATACAGGGTGAGATAAAAAACTGCAACAAAATCAAACACCACAAGTTTTAATTTTTTTTTTAATTTTATTGATGAAAGCAAAAAATGTCGAAAATAGAATCAAATTTTAGAATAAGTTTAGATTTGTTCGAATTGGTCACCTTTGGCACGAATTATGGCCTTCAAACGGCCACTGAAAATGTCACACTCTGCCCGAATGTTGCTCTGCGGTATTTTGGCTCATTCCCCTGAAGCGCTTGCTTGAGGTGATTGACACTATGGTTTTTTTAGTGCCAACCTTGCTTTCCAAAATACGCCGGACACAATAGTCCAACGGATTGATGTCCGGCGGCTGTTATGGCCGCCCATACTATCACCATGGGCGGCGCTTGAGTTCTGGTGGCCAATCGAAGGTGCAATTTTCAGCATACCTCTTTGGCAAGTAAACAAGATCATTTTGTTTTTTTTATTTTCACACTTTTTGCACTGGCGTCTTAAATATTATTTAAAATAAAAATAAAACAACTCTGTATATTAAATAGTTAAATTTAATTTAAAATGAAAAAAACAATCTGTAAAAAACGAAATTATTTTAATTATAATAAAAATGCATAAATAAAAATAACTAATATTAAAAAAATAAATAAAATAAAATAATAAAAAAAATAAAATTGTTGTTTAATTTCATAATAAAAAAAAACAAATATAGAAACAAGCCGAAAAAAGAAATTTCGGCGAGAAGGAATTTAATGCTGTCCAGAATGAAATACAGTAGCTCCAAGCGAAACTCGTAAAAGAAATTTATTTTTCGTATATCTTCCAAAAATCAAAATTTATAACAAAAAAAATATTTACATTTTATTAGTACACTATGCGAGCAATTTAAAAAGCAAAACAAAAACACTTAAAATTTTAATTCATTTAAAGTAAAAAAAATAAATAAATATTAAAAGAGATCATATTTCAATGCCAAAGCCAAACTCGTACACTTCGTATAATTTAAAGTATTTCTAGACATTAATATTTTGTATGCATTCCTTCATTTTTTTCCATTTGTAGCCTATTTGGCATACTTTTAACAAGTTTTTCGCAAAAGCTAGTTTCGATCTTTTGTCATTCTTCCAGCAAAGCTTTCTTCAAATCTTTTTTGCAAGATACAGGGTGAGATAAAAAACTGCAACAAAATCAAACACCACAAGTTTTAATTTTTTTTTTAATTTTATTGATGAAAGCAAAAAATGTCGAAAATAGAATCAAATTTTAGAATAAGTTTAGATTTGTTCGAATTGGTCACCTTTGGCACGAATTATGGCCTTCAAACGGCCACTGAAAATGTCACACTCTGCCCGAATGTTGCTCTGCGGTATTTTGGCTCATTCCCCTGAAGCGCTTGCTTGAGGTGATTGACACTATGGTTTTTTTAGTGCCAACCTTGCTTTCCAAAATACGCCGGACACAATAGTCCAACGGATTGATGTCCGGCGGCTGTTATGGCCGCCCATACTATCACCATGGGCGGCGCTTGAGTTCTGGTGGCCAATCGAAGGTGCAATTTTCAGCATACCTCTTTGGCAAGTAAACAAGATCATTTTGTTTGTTTACAAACTGCTGGACAACGAATGTTTTCTCATCGGAGAAAACCAAATTCGGCAGTTCACCACTTTCGGCCAAGCCAGCAACTCTAACTCTTTTGAGTCTATTTTCTTTCTGTTGCGGTGTAACTTCTTGCACTTTTCGAAATTTCTATGTCTTTACCCCGAGCTCATTTTTCAATATTTGCCGAATGGAATATTGCGATATGTTCAGCTCACGAGCCATTTTTTGGCAAGTGGCCGAAATTCCAAAAAGTGCAAGAACTTAGACCGCAACGGAAAGGAAAGGGTTCATGTTAGGGGGAGAAAATTAAATAAAACCGCTCGATGTCGTTTCGTTGAATGTTCTAAGGGAACTAACTTTATTTTTTATCATATCTTTAAACTATCACTAAAACTACAAATACCAATACACTTATTTATTAGAGTACATAACAAATACTTCAACAGCCATTAGGATGCATGCTGTACCTAGACACTCTACCTTAAAGTAAATTCCCACAATGCAGTCATAAATGCTAGGGGTAATAAATGCACCCCACGTACACACAGCATGGCGGGTAATAAAACCTTTTATCCTTAAGACAACTAGTTGGGCGAGACATTTCCTTATCATCAATACAATATTTATGACTGACCCAAACAGACTACACATGTAACAAAATCATTTAAGTATTCTAGGAAGAAGACAACCGTGGCTGTTTTCTGGTGTACGTTCAGCCTATCTACAAAACTGTACAGTTCAAAATTTTGAAAAACATCGGTACCTCCCTGTTTTTGTGATAATTATAGCGACTTATTCACCGGAAATGCTTCAAATTTCGTATTTGTAGTTCCTAATGGGTACCACAGTCTATATCCCCCATATAACGGTACCTCCCGATATTCTGTATTTTAATGATTTTAGCGTCATTATTCTCCGGAATTGTTTCAATTTTGGTGTTTGAAGTTCGTAATGAATACTACAGCCTATGACAGAAAATTGTCTGTGCAGGTCCATGTGTTCGTATAGCCCCAATATAACGAAATTTTGATGATTTTAGCTACATTAATCACCGAATTTTTTATTCAAGTTTCGCATTTGAATATTATAATCTTTTATGACAAAAGTTGGCTATGCAGGTCCACGTCGTCGTATAGACCCTAACATAACGGCTACATCCGGTATTTTTAAGATTTTAACAGCATTTTTAACGGGTTTTATTTTTATTTATTTTATTTATTTTTATTTTATTTGTTTATTTTATTTATTTATTTATTTTTTTTTTTTTGAAAATTGTGAAAATAGTTCCAAATGATGGAGGATATTCAAAGATCGTCCCGGCTGAACTTACTGCTTTTTACTTGTTTAATTTTCAAATTCGTTCCAAATGGTGGAGGTATTTCAAGTTCGGCCCGGCTCAACTTTTAAACTTGTTTCTTTTTATACCCTCAGTCATGTGGCTAGAGAGGGTATATATCATTTGATACGGTCAAAACGTGAACAGTCGAAATAACGGTTTTAGACCCTAGGTCTCTTTTGACCAAATCCGTTTCAGGACATTTGGAGATGATCTAGCGATGTGTGTGAATAGCCAAAACGGTTATAAAATCCGAAATAAGCATCCGGTTCTTTTCATATTTCACACAGCCCATTATTTCTACTCACACAAGATCTGCTGTGAAGATGGGATATACCCATCCCTCTCCAAAAAGGGTAACATTTTTGAAACGTGATATTGACATCCGATTCCATTCAGGCTTCGCACTTCTCAATATTTTTACTAACACAAAATTTGTTATAAAGATGGTAGCAATCGGGCTATTTCCTCTGATACCTACCTCACATAGGGTTCATAAGCATCCAACTTTCTTCAAATTTCACACAGGCAAACATTTTTGCTAACGTAAGATCTGTTGTCAAGATGATATGTATCTACGAACCCCTTTTGGTACCTCACCCAAAACAAGGATCATAATTTTCAATACTTTTATCTGCCATAACTTGCGAAACAAGTCAGCAATTCTTTACAACTTGCTACATCTAAATATTACTCCCAAACAGAAACCCGAGGTGAATATGAAATTTATGATTTCGCATAAAATTGGAGATAAATGTTCGATTTTCTTGTAGTTGTGCCCATACCAATAT